ATATGTCCATATGTTATTCTGTATTGTATTGCATAACATGTTGTACTTATCTTGTAATATATGTATTATACCCATGAGTCAGTTGACTCGAGGTTAATAAAATAATCTAATCTAAAACCATGATAAATATCATCTAAAATTATATACAACCTGACAAATAATACACATCATTCCTTGTATAAATTGTTTCAACAGTCACAATTATATGTGTGTATACTGCAATCACAAGTGACCACTTGTTCACTCAGTATATGTATATACCCTTGGGCCACTTTGATATCTGTTCAATCTCAAGTGACCAGTTTGCAGTGAGTCTGACCAGATTTTTATGGTAAGATTGTTCAATCGATCTATATATATATGTGTCTATATACTTGTACTTCATATATATTTTTAATTAGTTTACGTTTCTGTCATAAAAATATATTCAGTACTGTACAGTACCTATATAATTAATTTATGTAAAACGAATTGACATGCATAGTAAAAAAAAATCTGCGAAATCAATACAGTATTTAAATTATGTGGCTGCTAGCCCTTTTAAAATTTCTAGACCCAGTTTTTTAGCCCTTAAGATTTATACCTAACATTCACTCACTGCTTTTAACCTGTTTTTATCCTTTAGGCCATATCAAATAACAAAAATCACTTTACATAATAATTAACTACTACAGCACAAGACCGACTTCCGTAATTGTCGGTATCGACGGAGGAAGGAAAAATTATGAAGATGAAGAATGTGAAATAGAGAAAGTTTGCAATCACTTAATGCTCTGCAATTACAACTTATCAAATCATGTTATATTTTTTTTTTAACAATGCCAATACGTGACCAGTGTCGGTGCCCATCTATTTATATGCACACTTCGTATAACTACTGTACATGATGTCTCTACTGACTGTCAAATAAGGTGGAAATGTACAGACAGTCACATGATTTTTGCTGTTTTGTTAAACAGACAATGATGAGCCGTGGTATATAAAAAATTGCCTGCTCCATGTGTATGTCTATTGTTCATGCTGTACCGAATTTGGCTAACTTCAATTTCATTGCAAAAGGGTTTGTGCAAGGGGGGGCTGATCACTGCACCGGTACGTCATAATAATAATAATAATAATAGNATGTACATGTGTTATCATGTTTCCTGCTTTGGTTGAGTTTTGGTATGAATACTTACAGTTCGCACATACTTTTCGATCTATGGACGGCAACATTTGTGTACATGTTTATTACAAATACACACTGTTACGTTCCTTTTATAAAAAATGATGTGTGAGTTAGCAACAATATTATTTTAACATTTTTACAATGTCAACACCGATCGTCCATGGACAGACGAAGGTTCTATGTCATTTAAACGCTTTATATTTTGCACGCCTCTAAACGTTTAAGTGATAAGGACCCAGTGATCTTCAGAAACCCAGCATGGTCTGCTCAATTTCATCAACTTTTTCATCCCCACCACCTCGTTGACCATCATCAAATCATTGTCATCGCACAGGTGAATGAAAATCGAGTTACATGTTCAGAAGGTTTATTTGGAAATGTTTTATATATCTCGATAACGAAGTAAGACACCCAACATTTAACGATTTCCCAATTTTAATCTGGACTTCAGGAAAGCCTTGTTTGCAATGTTGTTTGCGCCTATCTGTAATATATACGCCAAAGACAAATACAATATACCCAGATGCATATAATGTATATGACTCTGCTGAACCAAGGGGTTCGTTACAAATGTCTGAAATACACATATGCTAACACTGATCAGGTCCAGTATCACGCTGATACACTCTGCTGATTGAGCCGTCATGTTTCTTGATTCTTGACAAAGACTTCATATCGTGGTTCATTTCAGAAAAAGTTTTAATTTTAAGTATTTTTTTTTTGAAAATAGAACGCTAAACTCGCTATCTAATCTATCTATCTATATACATGTATATTGTTATGCTCCACAGATACCAAAATGGCTTTAATGCAGAGGGGGTAATTGAGTATACGCATGCAATACTTAGCTTCGTTTAATCCCATTTGGTGGGATTGATGCTTTAAATGCCTCTATTCCGTCCAGGTGGTTCGATCCAATCTGTGGCTGTTTGCACAAAGAATGAGTTTCTGTATTGTTCCGTGTAAATTCTGTTGGGTATTATGACTGCTCTGTTATTGTTCCTGATTGAATTTGGAATTGGTCTTGATGTCTCCCAGTCCTTGAATATACGCTGTCATGTTTTCCTTTTTTCACATTGGAAGTTAATAAAGTCTTTGCTAGGCATTGATGGAAATTGCTCCTCTACTATTTTATAATAGAATGTTAGTCTCTGTTGTTTTCGTCTTGGTGCTGGTGGTGGAAGTTGTAGCTCTTTGAGTAGTTTGGTCATGAATCCCTCTTCCCTTGTTCTGTAATCCTTCTTGATGAAACATACCCCTCTCCGTTGGATGCGTTCCGATTTGTTAAAGTTCGCCTTTATGAACGGGTCCCAGATTATTGCTCAATATTCTAAGATGGATCTGACAAGAGCAATGTAAGCTGTCTTTCTACATTCTCTGGGGCAGTGTTGTAGATTGCGTCGTAGGAAGCCTAAGGTAGAACTGGCCTTTTTCGTGGTACTTGCTATATGTTCTTTCCACTTCATATCCCCTGATAGTTGTAATCCTAGGTATGGGCTTGTCTGTACGTGTTCTAAGTTGTGTCCATTAAGTTGGTATGTGTTTTGCTTTTTCTTCTTAATACAAAGAATGTAACATTTTTTGGCATTAAATTTCATCCCCCAGTTTGCAGCCCAAGTTTCGAGCTGTTTAAGGTCGTCATGAAGTGTTTCGTGGTCCTTGTTTGAGATTATTTCTCGATAGAGTAGGCAGTCATCTGCGAAAAGTCTAACTGTTGATTTCACAGAGTCTGGCAAGTCATTTATATGGCAACCCCTTCATAATCCTCCAAAATTTTGTCAACGTAGGTCTTTTTTACTGGTTTTCTGATATGTTTACTTTGAAGTCATCGTGTACTCTTAAAAAGTTACTGAAAACAAAACTATTCAGTGGAAATGCTGATAATATCTCTTTCGTTATACTGTCAAAGGAAAATGCTCAAATTTAATTTTAAAGTACTATTCAAACCATTTTCTGGCCGTATACTAATTTGGGTAGTGTATCAATTGTGATAGCTGTAAAGACCTATAATAGCTATAATATTGACCTATCTGAAATAGGTCTTTTTAGCTAGGGCCTGTTCGTTTATGGGGAACAACCGGTTTGACCGCGTTTATAAATATAACAATTTCGGGTAAAAATCCTGGCGGACCTGCAAATATTTATGCAGGCCTTGCAAGCTTTGTCAAGGCTCGCCTGAAAGCAGCATCAGATTACTAGGTCCGTCCGTATTTAATAAACGAACAACAGTGGTCAGACTGGTTTGACCGTTTAAACGAAAAGGGTCCTATTTTCAAGTGATATTCTTTTTTAGGGAAAACGAAACAGTCACTTTTAAAAGAAGATTGTATCTAATGATGGTAAAAAATTGGAAATTTTTCATTTATGAAAAATGAAAATAAACATCTAATTGTATGCTTTTTGTAGTCAACATTACCGTTAACCTTATTGTTTTATGCGACTTTGCTTTAATTTAATGAAAATTGAAATCTGAGAAAATATAGCTAAATACAGCTATAATTTATAGGTGAACAAAACTATATAGGTCTTTATAGCTACATGTATATAGCTCAATCGGCAGAGTGTACTGGACCTGCTGATATTGGCTGAACCAATGATACTTTTTAGCTCACAGGGTCCAAAGGACCAAGGTGAGCTTATGCCATACCGTGCTGTCTGCCCGTCGTCCGTCCGTCAACAATTTCTTTAAACGACTTCTTCTTCTTAACCACTGATTGGAATTTAACTAAATATGACTGGAAGCATCCCTAGATGGTGGGGATTCAAAAATGTATAAATGGTGGGGCTGACGCCCCAGGGGATGACGCCCAAGGGGCTGAGGGGCGGGGCAAAAAGGGGGCGATTTGGCTATATTGCTTTAAGCGACATCTCCTCTGGAACTAAGAGATGGATATAAACCATATTTGACTGGAAGCATCCCTAGGTGGTGTGGATTCAAAATTGTACAAATGGTTGGGCTGACCCCCCAGGGGGCTGAGGGGTGGGGCCAAAAGGGGGCATTTTGGCTATATTGCTACAAACGACTTCTTATGTAGAAATATGCACTGGATATGAATCATATTTAATCAGAAACATTCTTGGGAGGCAGGGATTCAAAATTGTACAAATGGTGTGGCTGACCCCGGGCGGCTGAGGGGCGGGGCCAAAAAGGGTTATTTAGCTTTATTACTTTAAGCGACTTCTTCTCTGGAACTAAGAGAAAGATATCAACCATATTTGACTGGAAGCATCCCTAGGTGGTGGGGATTCAAAATTGTACAAATGGTGGGGCTGACCCCCCAGGGGACTTGGGGCTGGGCCAAAAGGGGTCAATTTGGCTATATTGCTATAAACGACTTCTTCCGTAGAACTATACCATGGATATTGATCATATTTGGTCGGAAGCATTCATGGGAGGCAGGGATTCAAAATTGTACAAATGGTGGGGCTGAGCCCCCGGGCTAAGGGGTGGGGCCAAAAAAAATATATTACTTGGAAATGGTTGAGATCCCCACCATATAACCATATATACAATTGCTGAGTATAAAGAGAGGAATGCACATTTGCTTCCAGGATGGCCCTAGGGTCTGGCCCCACCCTTGGAGACTTAACCCCTGGGTCATAACTCTGAAACGGTTAAGATCCCTACCCCAAAACTATATATACAATTGTTGGGCATAAAGAGACGAATGCAGTCATGATATTAGAATTGACCCCAGGGTCTGCCCCACCCTTGCAGACATTACCCCTGGGTCATAACTTTGAAACGGTTGAGATCCCCAACCCAAAACTATATATAAAGTGTACAAATGCTGGACAAAAAGAGACAAATGCAGTCATAATATTAGAATTGACCCTGGGGTCTGGCCACAACCCTAGGGACCTAGTTTCTGAGTCACAGCTTGGAAACAGTTGAGATCCCCACCCCATAACCATACATAAAATTGCTGGGTATAAAAAAATAAAATACATATATGCTACAAGGATTGGCGCATGGATCTCATTTGGAGAATATTTTGCCATGATTGCTTAGATATCCAGGTGAGTGATACAGGCCCTCTGGTTTGCTTTGAGATTTTTCAATGATTTTCATCATGATCACTAGTATGCCATGTGGTTTTGTTGTTATTACCCCGATTGATCCTTTGAGGACTTGATAGTATACTTAGATTTGTGCTAGATTTACATGGCAGTGGTGATTAATATTAAAGCAGAATACTCTTACCCTTCCCAAATACATGGTCATATTCTCCTTCTACTTTTTCAAGGGTATCCCTGTGTAACAGGCGAGGACAAAATTGCACGACCAGTTCAGGGTTCGGACCTGGGAGTCCTTCCCAACTCTAGACGGACACACTACCAATTGAGTTACCTGGTAGTTAACAATCAACCCAGTCCAGTTCCGCTACATTCCTCCCTCCTTGTTTCTAAGTCTTTCACCCCTGAAGACACAACTTATTTACAACCCAGGTTCGGGTATCCCCTTGCCAAGCATGCACTAAATGTTTGAAACAAGGGTTGGTCACAGGCACCACTGTAACAGGAGAAAAAGAAAATGTAACAGCCAGACCGGGGTTCGAATCCAGGACCCTACAAACTCTAGAGGGACGCTCTACCAATTGAGCTACCTGGTCGTCGACGATCGACCCAGTCCCTTTACGCTACACCTGTAAATCTTTCCTTTGTTCATATTTTGCCCTAATGTTGCTGATTTTGCATTCTGTGTAACTGGCAAGGTCGTTTGTCTGGTTTTACATTAGGGCTTTGTATGATGGCACCCAATGTCAAAGTTACACTGATGATATCAAAAACCAACATCATTGTCAAGGACATAACTTAAGCTTCTGACTCACTAGCGCCACGAAATGTTAGGTATTGTAGGATGGAAAGATGGTGCGTTGCGTACAAATATTGGATCATACACCCAGGACAGGTAACATTCATGGTCAAAGGTCACGTTCATTGTCTGGTCCATAATTTGTGATTCAATGGAGACAGCTGAATGAAATTTTTAGGCCTGGTCAGGTTTGGGAGGTGTTTCTACATTATATCAATTCTTTCCAAAAAATTGCAATGTGCACTAATTATAATTATGGAAAATACAATAATGTTAAAAAAAAAATGCATGAACCAGTATTGAAAAAGATGAGCATTTAATTTATTTTAACATTTTTTCAAGTACATTTCTAGGTATTTTATGTGTACATGTTGTATAAGGAAAAATAAAACTGCTCAGAATCTTCTAATGGATTATCTTGGATTGTATTCTAAAAAAGTAATTTTCTTCCAAAACAGTTGTTTAAATGAAGAGACATGGATAAATACACAAGATCTCGATCAAAGAAAATAAAGCAGACAGCATCTTCAAAAGAACCTGATGTTGAGGTGATTGAAATGGTTGAAGATGGTCGTGCACGAGATGGCAAATCAAGGAGGAGCGGTACTGAGAAGCGTCTACAGGAAGAAGTGACTAACACAGAAACCAACGCCCATGGAAAAAACAAAAAAGTGAAAAAATCAAAAACCAAGTTAATTAAGTCGACAGAGAAATTACAGATATCTGATGTTTGGTCACAGCCACAGGTATCAAATGTAGGCTCACCAAAGACACAGGAGTTAGGTGTCAGCTCACCAAAGTCATCGGATTCGAGCACCAGCTCCCACAGGTCACAGGGTTTAAATGTGGAATCACTGCTGTCAAAGGTTGAGTCACCAGAGTCGGAGGAAGAAACTTATCAGATTTCTGAGGAAGATGTTAGCAATTCACAGACAGACTATGACACAGCAGATTCCAGAACAGAAAATACATTTGTAGAATTTCAATCGGAGAGGTACATATGGATAATTCTTTCTTGGCTAATCAAAGGCCAAGAAAAATGTTTCCCTTCTACCCTAAAAATGTTTCCCTTCTACCCTAGTTTTTAGTGCAAATTATACACTATTCTTTTTTTATTTTTTGACAAATTTTAAGTCGGCCACTGTTAAAGACTGAAAATCGTTGTTTATAAATAAAATTTTGTAAAACTTAAAAAAAACAAAAACATTATTAACGTAACTATGCTACCAACCTCAACTTTGTGAGAGACGAATCGTTTATTTGGCAGTAGTTGATGTCCTATAGTCCTTAGGCAGAATCAACTTTGTGAGAGACTAATCGTTTATTTGGCAGTAGTTTGATGTCCTCTAGTCCTTAGGCAGAATCATCTTTGTGAGAGACGAATCGTATATTTGGCAGTAGTTAACTGTCCTCTAGCCCTTAGGCAGAATCAACTTTGTGAGAGACTAATCGTATATTTGGCAGTAATTTGATGTCCTCTAGTCCTTAGGCAGAATCAACTTTGTTAGAGACGAATCGTTTATTTGGCAGTAATTCGATGTCCTCTAGTCCTTAGGCAGAATCAACTTTGTGAGAGACGAATCGTATATTTGGCAGTAGTTAACTGTCCTCTAGCCCTTAGGCAGAATCAACTTTGTGAGAGACGAATCGTTTATTTGGCAGTAGTTGATGTCCTCTAGTCCTTAGGCAGAATCAACTTTGTGAGAGATGAATCGTTTATTTGGCAGTAGTTGATGTCCTCTAGTCCTTAGGCAGAATCAACTTTGTGAGAGATGAATCGTTTATTTGGCAGTAGTTAACTGTCCTCTAGTCATTAGGCAGAATCAACTTTAACCAATCGTTAAGCCCAGCAACATGAATTATTAGTCAATTGATTCTTAGCACAAGGGTACATTTTCCCAATAGAGTATAGTAAAGAAATCATATTAATTTAGACATTGTTTTCATGTCTTTGGTCATTATCATGATACTTGTTGTCTATATATAGAATTTGTCTTAACTTGGAAAAGGAACATGTACAGGTTGCACTGAAACAAGACAACTTATTATCAACTTACAGCTGACGAGTGTTAAAATTATAATATTTTGAATAAGTCAAGGTAGAATGCACAGGTTATAATCTCACAAAAGAGTTCTGCATGTATGTAATGGCAGCTGTGACAATATATCCTAAGTTGATGGTATTCTTTTCATTCAATTCTGTTTACAGTTTGTAGTTCTTGGTTTTGTATTGAATATTTGCAAAGGGAGCAATAATGGGTACCGTTCTACCCTTTCTTTGAATTGAATATGCAATCTGCTCTTATATAAATTAAGGTGAAATTACCTTGATAATAATCATCTCTATAAATACACTTTCTTTCGTTTCAAGTTGATGACCTCACTGTTTATGTTGATGCTGTCCCCATCTCTAATTGTGCAAACAATTGCAGGAGACCCAAAATATTTTGAATACATTATTTCTGAATCATATATATGGAGTAGGTGTTATTGATTGCTTGGGATCACTAACACTTTGCCGGTTTATTTGATCCATTGGTCGTAAAATGGTTGTAGCCTGCACAAGCGGGATTCAGATCTCACCATTGATGTTTTACAGGTTGGTTGATGTGGAAGGCGGACGGCTGTTGATACTAGAGAGCGGACAGGAAGTGTCCCTGTCTGGTTTCTGTACTATGTCAGTGTTGTGTGGCTCCGCTGAGGTGTTTGGCTATCACTGTGACCCCAGCAAGCAACCCGTCGAACTTTTCTCGGCAGTGAGCAACAGTCTGTTAAAAATCAAATGTCTAAGCGTAGAAACAAATTCTGACTGTGTACGTTCTGTTTACTCAGAGAATCGACTTGAGCAGGACGTTGCAGATTGTCTGCCATGCTCCGATGTGGCTGTAATAAAACTAGGTAGACTGGATGCACCTCACATAGACTATGTTACCACGCTCAACACCTTCAAACAACTTTTTTGTGGGATTAAGGATGGTCCCCTCGGGAGGTTCTCTGTGGAATCCAACCAGAGTAAGCGGTTACCACAACTACATCTCAGTAACGACCACTACTTTGTTCTTGACAAATGGAAGGAACAGCTATCTAAAGGTAGGTTAATTGTAACTGACATCGAAGGTCAAATCTACTCTAAAGAGATTTAAAACTGGAATCATTCCAAAAATGGGAAACAGTTTTGTTTTATTTGGCCTAAATTCCAGTATTAATATGCTATTACCGCTGAATTAGTTATTTCTTCAAGTAATTACTATGATTAAATTCTGTGTAAATATAACATGAGCAGAAAACTGTTTACTTTCAATTCCTACAGCACTTCCTATACTATGTTGCTGGAAGAGAAATTTGAGTTTTCATCTTTGGTTATGAAAGAAAAATAAAATGAAAAATGGCACTTTACTTTAAATTGACTTAAAACATTGCAATTATTTTTTACAAAGGATTAATCATAACGTTAATTTCTCTTAACATGTTAGAGATATTGTTTCTCTATTTTGATGTTTACATGTTAGAGATATTGTTCCTCTATTTTGATGTTTATCCCCTTCGTTACAGACCCTGCTTCTATATTGATCACGTGTGGTGGGAAAGGTCAGGGAAAGTCGACTCTTACTCAGTTCTTACTCAACTCAACATTAAATGTGTAAGTTGTTACCTTGAATGTGTGTACAGAGAAACTTTAAGACCAGACACTTGATTCCCAGATAAGACATTTAACGTTTTCATGGGATACTTTCATTTCTTTTTGAACATTTTACAGAAGTTGTTGTGATTTGTACACTTTGAAAAATAGCCCTTCACAAAGCTTTATAGAAATATACCTGATAAGTGTCTGCTTGCAGATTCAAGTGTTGTAAATTGTCATAAGTTATCACATGATTTGTATGAAACTTTGACCAACAATGTTGCTGTAAGCATCAATTTAAATTAACATGTACATGAATAATTTTGTAAATATGTCCAATGAGTGTCAGATTTCTGGATAAACAGATCTCATATTCTTTAATCTGACAGTACATGTATGCATTGTGAGTCCATGAAAAAATATATCTCAAAATGTTATAATGCAGATGGTCGTTTGATGGTCCAGCATGTATATCATAAATATGACAACAGATTGTTTGCTCGCCTGGCCTATTATGATAGGATGGTGTGTCTGATCGTTTTCCTTTAAGACTTGTCCAGAATAACTAAAGAGATTTTGAATAGATTTGATATAGCATTTCCTATTGCCAAGCAATTTAGAGTTATTTAATTGGAGGGTGTCCCTGTGCCTTCAGGATGATACACATTGCAGTACAAGTATTATTCTTGAAGCTATCATCCCTTAATGCAGAATGTGCTGATCTCCAGATACCTGTTGTATACCTATCCTTAATCTGTACAATGTGTTTAACAAAGGGGGGCTTATTGCCATGCATCAGCTCACTGGTAAAATGGGGTAGATATAAGCAATATTGATGTAAGCTGATCTTTGTTTTGCAGCCTGGACAAAGTGTGCTATTTAGACTGTGATCCTGGACAGACAGAGTTCACTCCCCCTGGAAGTTTGTCTCTACATACTATCACTAACCCAGCATTAGGTATGTCCTTATATTACCTCACTGCGCCCCATAACACAAATGACTATATAAATGTCCATAAAATGGAACCACTTTGTAAGTTTTGTTTATTATCCTCTTCAAAGTATACTTATTTGTGCATGGTGTTGCAGTTTGTCAGATATGGCTGAATGTATGGCTGATTTCAGTTTGACAGATATGGCTGAATGTATGGCTGATTACAGTTTGTCAGATATGGCTGAATGTATGGCTGATTACAGTTTGTCAGATATGGCTGAATGTATGGCTGATTACAGTTTGTCAGATATGGCTGAATGTATGGCTGATGCATGGTTCTGTATACAGTATAATGATGTATTGAAGTTTTGTTTAAGCATTTGTGTGTAAATTCACTCTTAATTGTTGAAATTGTTTTTTTTATACTGTAGTTACAATCATATAGAAATTTTGTGTGTTAGAAAGCATGTAGCACTTCTAACGTTAATTTGCTGAACCGGCCATTTGCAAATTCCAATGCAGTCTAAATTCTTCATTAGTACAACAGTGTTTTGCATTTTTTTTCTGAAGAGTGTAATTTTTACTGGTAATTCCAAAGCAGATAAAGTGATGTTGTTTTGTACATTAATGACTTACTGAATTGTTTGTCTTTGTAGGGCCGCCGTTTAGTCACCAGAAAGAACCAGCAGTGTAAGATTTAGTACATCTACTAAGTTAAACTAAATATGAAGTACACTATAAACTTTTTTTAACTGTAACTGTTATTAGGTTTTAACATAGTAAAAAAATCCAAGATGGCTACCATTGATTCTGATTGGCCGATATGTCATGGTTTGTTACAAATCTAAAGAAAAAAGTTGCCAAAATTAGTTTTAAATGTTTTTTTATGACCCCAAGTTAATGTTTGTAGTATTTTAATGCTATGAAAAGTTTGTAAGCTCTGTCCTGTCTGGAAGGCTTTCCTTACATTCCCTCTTACATTTGGAACTTGTTTTAAAGCTCTGTCCTGTCAAGAAGGTCTTCCTTACGTTCCCTCTTACATTTGGAACTTGTTTTAAACAGTTGGTGCTTTAATGGAAACGTGTCCCCAAATGGAAACCCACATTTATACCTTAACTGTATAAGACAGTGTTTCCATGGCTACACTCAGATGAAGCCACGTCCACCTCTAGTGGTCAACACAATGGGCTGGATATCAGGTAAGTTACTGTAAAAAAGATTTTGTGTTAACTGGTCTTTGCTTGGTTGAGTCGCGTTTGATGTGTTACTAAATTACTGCTGGCCTTTGTCTACTTTACTGAGTAAAGTGAGTTATGGTGGATCAGTCCGTGTATATTTCACTTCAAGCCTTCATCTGCTTCACTGATGGAGTCACGTTTGATGTGTTACTAAATTACTGCTGGCCTTTGACTAGATGTCCTTCACTTTAGGCCTTGGTTTGCTTTCCTGTTAAGTCAAGTTCAAACACAGTGGTCAATTAAGAGATTCCCAGTTACGAGTTATTATTATACTGCAGGTCTTGGTCTACTATTACTGATTAAGAGAGTCAGTTACGAGTTATTATTTTACTGCAGGTCTTGGTCTACTATTACTGATTAAGAGAGTCAGTTATGAGTTATTATTTTACTGCAGGTCTTGGTCTACTATTACTGATTGATACTCTGAGAATCGTTCAGCCTGACCTTGTGATACAGATAGATTCCAAACATGCGGACGGAAACCTTCCCATGTTGACCCCCACAAACGTAGCCCAATCTGACAGCTGGTCCAGTCAATGCAAGGTGAGTACATGATACAGTGTTGCTTCTAGGGCGCGGGATCGCAGAATTCCCGCAAAAATGTAAATAACCCCGTGTGGGCCTAATGCCGCAACTCTTTGATAAATCCCCCCTTTCAGACAATCCTTTGCGTTCATTTATTTCTTTTGCAGTTCAATCGTTGTACGATAACAAAGTCGGCCATCTTGTGCAAGAGACCGAAACATCTTTTGAAACCCGAAGGGCCAAGTGAGCTTATGGCATGGTGCGGCGTCCGGCGGGCGTCAACTTTTTACTTTACACAACCTCTTCTCAGTAACCAAAAGGCCTAGGGTGATGATATTTGGCCAGAAGCATGCTTGGATGAAGGGCTACCAAGTTTGTTCAAATAAATGACCTTCATCAGTTTTCAAGGTCACGGGAGTCAAATATGTTAAAATCTTTAAACAACTTCTCCTCAATAACCAAGAGGCCCAGGGTACTGATATTGGGCCTGTAGCATGCTGGGATGAAGGGCTACCAAGTTTGTTCAAATGAATGACCTTGACCAATTTTCAAGGTCACTGGGGTCATATGTCTTAGAATCTTCAAACAACTTCTTCTCAAAAACCAAAAGGCCCAGGGTACTGATATTGGGCCTGTAGCATGCTGGGATGAAGGGCTACCAAGTTTGCTCAAATAAATGTTCTTGACCCACTTTCAACCTAATGTCCTTGTTCGACCTTCAAGGTCACAGGCATCATATGTTTAAATCTTTTAACAGGCTCTTATGAATCAAACACTGATATTCTGCCTGTTGCTGTATTTTAGTCCACTTTTAAGATTACAAGTGTGAAATTAATACCAGGTGAGCGATGCAGGCCCATTGGGCCTCTTGTTAAAGCTACACCAATCAAAATGGGGCTCTTAAAGTAAACATTCTCGCACATGCGGCGACCTCGTACTGGACCTACACGAGGTCTGAGGTGAATGTACATGTACAGCTTCTAAATGAACAGGAAAAGAACGCTGTTTGAGTTAAGTTTCACGGCAAACCGCCACCATTTAGACAGGGATGAGAGAGAGGTTACCAACAAATCTGAAACCGAAGCAGGTGATAGAATTCAGCATAGTATAGCTGGGTCCATCATTATATAGAAATTAAGATCTAGACACAAAAATGTATAAAAATATCTTTTTTTTCCCTGTGATTGATCTCATGTTCAAAATGTAAAAATTACACTAGAATGCACCTACAGCCACTCAGATATCAAAATTTTTCTGGGGGAGACCCCCATACCCCCCTTGCAATAGAGGGCTGCTGCCTGCCCCGTCCCACACCATCCCCTGCCTCATCGCTTCGTTCCTCGGTTGCTGCATTCGGCAGCAGGCCCCCCTATTTCACATTGAAGGGGCCCAAGGGGAAGCATTTTAATACTCTATTTAGTTCACTGAGTTTGCCTTGATCTCGCTCAATTAAAGGTTGTATATTTTATTACTTGGTACAAGTTGATCCAGCCTGTTTCAACTTACTCAAATACACCGTCTATTTACATTCATATGCTTTCTATTTACTACAGGAGCAACAGAAGAATATTCCTCAGAAGGATCACAGTGTGCTTATCATTAATTCTGTGGTGGACACAAAGTCAGGGTAAATATCGTACCATTCAGCCTGGTCACCATATGAGTTTGAAATCCATGGTGCTTAAATCAAGGCCAATGTCACTGTTATTAATTATAGAATATTATCAACCAAGTCAGTGTCTCCAATCAAGTGTCTTCATTTATTTAGTAGATTTTAATCAAATTTTGTACAAAGGTCAAGTATGAGAATTCCTCTGATGGCCAAGGTTACCACATAGTCCATAACCCTAATTAATAGAATTGTTAGTCCCACATAGTCCATAACCCTAATAAATAGAATTGTTTGTCCCCATAGTTCATAACCCTAATAAATAGAATTGTTTGTCCCCATAGTTCATAACCCTAATAAATAGAATTGTTTGTCCCCAATAGTCCATAACCCTAATAAATACAATTGTTTGTCCCCATAGTCCATTACCCTAATAAATAGAATTATTTGTCCCCCATAGTCCATAACCATAATAAATAGAATTGTTTGTCCCCCATAGTGCATAACCCTAATCAATAGAATTGTTAATCCCCCCTTGTCCATAACCCTAATAAATAGAATTGTTTGTCCCCATAGTTCATAACCCTAATAAATAGAATTGTTTGTCTTCCATAGTCAATAACCCTAATAAATAGAATTGTTTGTCCCCATAGTTCATAACCCTAATAAATAGAATTGTTTGTCCCCCCTAGTCAATAACCCTAATAAATAGAATTGTTTGTCCCCCCTAGTCAATAACCCTAATAAATAGAATTGTTTGTCCCCCCTAGTCCATACCCCTAATAAATAGAATTGTTTGTCCCCCATAGTCCATAACCCTAATCAATAGAATTGTTAATCCCCCCTTGTCCATAACCCTAATAAATAGAATTGTTTGTCTTCCATAGTCAATAACCCTAATAAATAGAATTGTTTGTCCCCATAGTTCATAACCCTAATAAATAGAATTGTTTGTCCCCATAGTTCATAACCCTAATAAATAGAATTGTTTGTCCCCATAGTTCATAACCCTAATAAATAGAATTGTTTGTCCCCATAGTTCATAACCCTAATAAATAGAATTGTTTGTCCCCAATAGTCCATAACCCTAATAAATACAATTGTTTGTCCCCCATAGTCCATAACCCTAATAAATAAAAATGTTTGTCCCCCATAGTCCATAACCCTAATCAATAGAATTGTTAATCCCCCATTGTCCATAACCCTAATAAATAGAATTGTTTGTCCCCCCTAGCCCATAACCCTAATAAATAGAATTGATTGTCACTCTAGCAATTATATTTTTTCTGAGATTATAAGACAGACATGAATGTTGAAATAGTCCATAATCCTAATAAATAGAATTGTTAGTCCCCCATTGTCCATAACCCTAATCAATAGAATTGTTTGTCCCCCCTAGTCCAGAACCCTAAAAAATAGAATTGTTTGTCCCTCATAGTCCATAACCCTAATAAATACAATTGTTTGTCCCCCCTAGTCCATAACCATAATAAATAGAATTGTTTGTCCCCCCTAGTCCATAAACCTAATAAATAGAATTGTTTGTCCGTCATAGTCCATTACCCTAATAAATACAATTGTTTGTCCCCCCTAGTCCATAACCATAATAAATAGAATTGTTTGTCCCCCCTAGTCAATAACCCTAATAAATAGAATTGTTAGTCCCCCATTGTCCATAACCCTAATAAATAAAAATGTTTGTCCCCCATAGTCCATAACCATAATAAATAGAATTGTTTGTCCCCCCTAGTCCAGAACCCTAAAAAATAGAATTGTTTGTCCCTCATAGACCATAATCCTAATAAATAGAATTGTTAGTCCCCCATTGTCCATAACCCTAATAAATACAATTGTTTGTCCCCATAGTCCATTACCCTAATAAATACAATTGTTTGTCCCCCATAGTCCATGACCCTAATAAATACAATTGTTTGTCCCCCATAGTCCATGACCCTAATAAATACAATTGTTTGTCCCCCATAGTCCATGACCCTAATAAATACAATTGTTTGTCCCCCCTAGTCCATAAACCTAATAAATAGAATTGTTTGTCCGTCATAGTCCATTACCCTAATAAATAGAATTATTTGTCCCCCATAGTCCATAACCATAATAAATAGAATTGTTTGTCCCCCATAGTGCATAACCCTAATCAATAGAATTGTTTGTCCCCCCTAGTGCATGACCCTAATAAATAGAATTGTTTGTACCCCATAGTCCATAACCCTAATCAATAGAATTGTTTGTCCCCCCTAGTCAATAACCCTAATAAATAGAATTGTTAGTCCCCCATAGTCCATAACCCCAATAAATAGAATTGTTTGTCCCCCATAGTCCATGACCCTAATAAATACAATTGTTTGTCTTCCATAGTCCATAACCCTAATAAATTGAATTGTTTGTCCCTCATAGTCCATAATCCTAATAAATAGAATTGTTAGTCCCACATAGTGCATAACCCTAATAAATAGAATTGATTGTCCCCCATAGTCCATAACCCAAATAAATAGAATTGTTTGTCCCCCGTAGTCCATTACCCTAATAAATCGAATTGTTTGTCCCCCATAGTCCATGACCCTAATAAATACAATTGTTTGTCCCCATAGTCCATAACCCTGATAAATAGAATTGTTTGTCCCCCCTAGGCCATAACCCTAAAAAATAGAATGGTTTTTCCCCCCTAGTCCATAACCCTAAGAAATAGAATTGTTTGTCCCCCATAGTCCATGACCCTAATAAATACAATTGTTTGTCCCCCCTAGTCCAGAACCCTAAAAAATAGAATTGTTTGTCCCCCCTAGTCCATAACCCTAAGAAATAGAATTGTTTGTCCCCCATAGTGCATAACCCTAATCAATAGAATTGTTTGTCCCCCCTAGGCCATAACCCTAAAAAATAGAATTGTTTGTCCCCCTTAGTCCATAACCCTAATAAATAGAATTATTTGTCCCCCATAGTCCATAACCATAATAAATAGAATTGTTTGTCCCTCCTAGTCCATTACCCTAATAAATAGAATTGTTTGTCCGTCATAGTCCATTACCCTAATAAATACAATTGTTTGTCCCCATAGTCCATAACCCTGATAAATAGAATTGTTTGTCCCCCATAGTGCATAACCCTAATCAATAGAATTGTTAATCCCCCATTGTCCATAACCCTAATCAATAGAATTGTTTGTCCCCCCTAGTCCATAACCCTAATAAATAGAATTGTTTGTCACTCTAGCAATTATATTTTTTCTGAGATTATAAGACAGACATGAATGTTGAACTGCATCTAGTATATCTATAATTATACTTCGAATGAGCTCACATTTTAGAGTGAATCCAGAGTTTCTTACATACTCTGTTAATGTTTCTCTTAGGTCAAGGTCATAGTAGGTGGTCGAATGTCAAGTAACTTGAAACAATTGTCCAGACCAAAATTTATGAAAAACTGACTGATATTTCATGAAACATGATACATTCATGTACATGTATGTTAATTATTGTTATTTAAGGAAAAAGCCAAAATGTACCACTGCCATAAGTCATTTTCCTAGACATTTTTACTAAGTTAGGTGTTTTCAAAGGAAAGAAATTCTAAAATGACTTAAAACTTGACATTGCAGCAATTACAGCAGAGCCCGACACCTCAGGGACATGGCACTGTTAAGTTACCTCACGAAGGGCTTACCGGAAGGATTGATGGCAGCTAAACCCTGCATGGTTTCCTGGTCCACAATCGCCATTCATGTTTGTCATGCAACAGTTCCATCGTCCCAGATCTTAGAGGCCATCAATGCATGTGTTGTAGCACTCTGTTGCCTTGACGATGAACATCAGGTGAACTTCTTATCTTGTTCAATTGGTGTTTTTGTGGTACTTTGTCAAATATTTTGATATTTAAACATGATGCTGGTTTGAATCCCAGTCTTAATTGGCTACTGTTTATTTTACCTAGTTTATAGTAAGCTGCAACATGTCAGTTCAGTAGCTTTCAGAAGTCGGGGGTATAAAACCTAAAAATGATCAATTGTATTAACATGTCATGAAAGGAATGAGTGATCTTCTAATATTTCTTAATCTTCATTCCTTGATCAATCATACCATAGAATGTTTTGTTTTCTGATACTCATGGTTTAGGAGCAACTCACAGCTCAATTTGCCTTCAAGATAAATCATTGATATTTTTGTCTGTATTACATTGCTAATGATTGTTTTGTTTGTTTTGTAGCGTTATAGAGAGGGAGAGGATTCTCCTTGGTTGCTGAAGAAGACACCCGTTTGTGACTGTGTGGGATATGGTAAGGTCATGCATATTTCTGTGGACTTCAGGCAGTTGAGAACTGTCCATGACGAGATGCTACATACACTAGCATTATCTCAGAAAATAAATACTTAATTACTGTGTATTCAGAAATGTCCCAAAGTTTGTGCGCATGATTCAACTGAAATGTTTTATTAGATAATATAAATCATTGCAAATGAAATCTCTAACAGAATAGGCCACAGCTAGGAATCCAAATATACATATGTTTATACCTACGTTAAACAATTGATATGTGAGGGCCCAAACATATGGAAAATGAACAAATTTTCATTTCTACCATTAAACATTGTTTCTGTAGACAGTTCTTGTACTTGTAATTTTTGTCAATGTGATGCTTGGCATTCTCCTTCATAAAACAGTGACTTCGGCTCTTTGGATCAATCACTGGAAAGATTTTGTGGTACCTTTCTATCAATATTATTTCATTCATAGTACACACAGTAGCCACAGTAATATAATTATGGTCAATGACTGCCGACCAATTTTTTGTTATAATGAAAATAAAGGGATCAAATGATATTTTTTTCATAATGTTTAATGACGATATAAAAATGTTTTATTGAGATAACCTCTTTCGTCGGCAGGTTTCGTGCGAGGGATAGACAAAGAAAAGAAATGTTTGTATATAGTGAGTCCTGTCCCACTCTCCAAACTTAAATCTGTCAATCTGCTGATGAGGGGCAATGTGAACCTAACAGAAGACCTCTTCCTCAAGGTCAGTGTCAACACACACAGCAAACCTCTTACATTTGTTTGGGGGAACACTCTCCATTACAACACTGTCACTCACAACATCAAGATAATTCACCCAAACATCAGAATCTTTCACTCCAATGTCAAAATCGTCTATTTTAATGTCAAAATCATTTTCCAACATCAAGATAATTCACGGAAAATCAAGGTAATTCATTTCAACATTAAGGTCCAGTATCAAGGTTACTCCTAAAACATCAAGGTCATTCGTCACAACATCAAGGTCAATCACCTCAACATCATGGTCATTTGCCACAACATGATGTCATAAGAGTCAATTACCATTAAATGAAGTTAACCTACATAACATCATTGAGTTCACTTACCACAACATGAAGATCACTTACCATAACATCAAAGTCACTTTTATTTAACATCATAGTCCCATATATAACAACAGTCACCTTAACATTAAGTTCATTTACAATCATGCATAGATCCTCATATCAAAGGTCTCTTGCCACAACTACATCAAGGTCACTCACCACAACTACATCAAGGTCACTCGCCACAACTACATCAAGGTCACTCCCCACAACTACATCAAGGTCACTCGCCACAACTACATATAGGTCACTCGCCACAATATCAAGGTCACTTCCCACAACATCAAGGTCACTCATGATCACCACAACTCCATCAAGGTCACTTTCCACAACAACATCTAGATCACTCATCGCAACATCATCTAGGTCACTCATCACAACTACATCAAGGTCACTAACCACAAATACATCAAGGGCACTTCCCACAACATCAGTGGTCACTTACCACAACAGCATCAAGGTCACTCACCACAACTACATATAGGTCACTCACCACAATATCAAGGTCACTTCCCACAATATCAAGGTCACTCATGATCACCACAACTACATCAAGGTCACTTACCACAACAACATCTAGATCACTCATCACAACATCATCTAGGTCACTCATCACAACTACATCAAGGTCACTCATCACAACTACATCAAGGTCACTAACCACAAATACATCAAGGGCACTTCCCACAACATCAATGGTCACTTACCACAACAACATCAAGGTCACTCACCACAACTACATCGAGGTCACTCACCACAACTACATCAAGGTCACTCACCACAACTACATATAGGTCACTCACCACAATATCAAGGTCACTTCCCACAACATCAAGGTCACTCATGATCACCACAACTACATCAAGGTCACTCACCACAACAACATCTAGATCACTCACCACAACTACATCAAGGTCACTCATCACAACTACATCATGGTCACTCATCACAACTACATCAAGGTCACTCACCACAACTACATCAAGGTCACTCACCACAACTACATCAAAGTCACTCACCACAACTACATCAAGGTCACCCACCACAACATCAAGGTCACTTGCCACAACAACATCAAGGGCACTTCCCACAACATCAAAGGTCACTTACCACAACAACATCAAGGTCACTCATAATCACCACAACTGCATCAAAGATAATTCATTATAAGGTCAAACATACAACGTCACATCAGAGTCACTCACCACAACACCAAGGTCATTCACAACATTATTTTATCGGGGTCAAATATATTGTACGAGAAAAACTGTAAAATGTAATTGGAGCTTAGTATTTTATATTGAGCTAAGTTTGCACAGCAGATGAGGTCAACCTGCCCTATATTCAGTACCTTACCAACAATTGTGTGCTATCACCTCATAAGCCCTATCAGTTAGCAAGACAAGTTATTCAAACAGCACTCCCACGACAGAAACAAATCCCCCCCCCCCCTTCCTTCCAAATATTTCGTACAAGCCCTTTACATGTATGGTAGTCTTGATAAGTCTGACCCTTCTCTATACATTGAAGAGTCAGGTGCCTTAGTCTCCGCCTTTTGCATCCTCTTTCTTGCCACTTGCTTTTACTGTTGGATCTAGGAAAAACTTTTAGTCAAATACCATGTAACAGGGCACATTGCATTACACTGACGCCATGTAATTAAATGCAAATGCTACTATTATGCCAGTATTGTACCATGTTTTTCTATCCCCCATTTGATCATACAACTCAGGGACCTAGTGGTCAGCACATGATTACAACCCTGAAGTTGAACTTGTGTAACTTACTGGCCCCTTAATTGACTCAGCTTACTAAGCGGCCATGCTCATTGAGCGTTTAATCAGTCATAACTACATCAACTCTTGTCCCATGTCTCATCACAAATGCGAGACCACAAGTCTAGTTGATCTTAACCTCCAGCTTCTCAGCTGCGTTTTCTGCCATACAACAAAGGGACCAAGTGGCCAGACAATATATCGCCTGACTTAAGGTTATATTTGTACAAGTTAAACCCAGAAGCTGAATTTGTGCATCCCACTTGCCCCTTGCATTGACTAGGAATACTAAGCGGCCATGCTCATTGAGTATTAGGGCAATCTTATCCTTGACCTTCAGCTTTTCTGCTGCTCAAGCTTGCCCTCAAGGGAGGTCAGATATAGAAAGTAGCTAGGCACCCCTATCTTCTGTCATAATAAATACAACCAGGTGATCAGTACAGGTAAGATGGGCATTTTATTTACTTGTAAGGTTAACAAACTTTTGACAATCTTATCAACATATTTGTGTTTGGAACTTGATAAGATTTATTTAACCTCAACTCTTATTTCTCGTTTATTATTAATGTTTGTCTCATGTTTGGTTTTTGACAGGCTTTCCCAGGAGTTGTACCATATGTTGATATTACTGCAACTACCAAGGGATCTGGTGCACTGAGGCAGCGAAAACGTATGCCAAGGAAAACCTAGTCAAGACTCAGCTTAAAAACTGAAAGGATCCATAAAGATAAGGAACAGGTGTAAAAAGCAGTGCTGACACAGGGACATGATTCATGGTGATAAGTTCTAGGTTTAAACAGCAATACTGACACATGTACAGGAACATGATACATGGCTAAAAGGATCAGCTGTAAACAAGTGTAGACACATGGACATGATAGATGGTGATAAGTAAGGGTCAGCTAAGCATTGGTGACACAGGGACATGATACATGGAGATAAGGATCAGCTGTAAACAGAAGTGTAGACACAGGGACATGATATATTGTGATTAGTAAGGGCCAGCTAAGCATTGGTGACACAGGGACATGATACATGGGGATAAGGATCAGCTGTAAACAAGTGTAGACACATGGACATGATAGATGGTGATAAGTAAGGGTCACCTAAGCATTGGTGACACAGGGACATGATACATGGGGATAAGGATCAGCTGTAAACAAGTGTAGACACATTGACCTGATAGATGGTGATAAGTAAGGGTCAGCTAAGCATGGGTGACACAGGGACATGATACATGGTGATAAGGATCAGCTGTAAACAAGTGTAGACACATTGACATGATAGATGGTGATAAGTAAGGGTCAGCTAAGCATGGGTGACACAGGGACATGATACATGGTGATACGGATCAGCTGTAAACAGAAGTGTAGACACAGGGACATGATATATTGTGATATTGTAAAAAAGCAGAGATGATACAGGGACATGACACATGATTATAAGGGTCAGCTGCAAACACAGTGTGCTGACACAGTGACATCATATGATAATAAAGGTCATGTGTTCATAGCAGTGCTGACATAGGGATGTCACATGGTTATAAGGGGCATGTGTTCATAGCAGTGCTGACACAGGGACGTCACATGTTTATAAGGGTCATGTGTTCATAGCAGTGCTGACACAAGGACGTCACTTGGTTATAAGAGTCATGTGTTCATAGCAGTGCTGACACAGGGATGTCACATGGTTATAAGGGTCATGTGTTCATAGCAGTGCTGACACAAGGATGTCACTTGGTTATAAGAGTAATGTGTTCATAGCAGTGCTGACACAGGGATGTCACATGGTTATAAGGGCCATGTGTTCATAGCAGTGCTGACACAGGGACGTCACATGGTTATACGAGTCATGTGTTCATAGCAGTGCTGACACAGGGACGTCACATGGTTATACGAGTCATGCGTTCATAGCAGTGCTGACACAGGGACATCACATGGTTATAAGAGTCATGTGTTCATAGCAGTGCTGACACAGGGATGTCAAATGGTTATAAGAGTCATGTGTTCATAGCAGTGCAGACACAGGGACGTCACATGGTTATAAGAGTCATGTGTTCATAGCAGTGCTGACACAGGGACATGATACATGGCTATAAGGGAAAAGCTGTTCACAAAAGAAGACAACATATATTGTTTTTAATACAGCTTACAAAATGATCAACATGTTGCAATGAATTTATTTAGTTTTGAAATAAATATATTTCTGATCAACAATGAAATTTTGTTTATGTCATGCTTGTGTCTTCAAAACACACTACTGGAAATCACTTTATTTTTACATGTAATTAATTTAACAAACTTTTTCTGCAGGTGATGGTATTATTGAGGACTGAAGTGTCCTTCACCCTTGGTAACTTAAACACATGTATTTAACTTGCATACATATGCATGTATTAGACAGCAGACATTAAGATGGGTGCCACGTTTTGCACATGAAATTTTCGCCCATCTAGAACACTTAGATTTGCATCAGTTTTTAGGTCACCTGAGCTTTAGCTCAAGTGACCTATTGCTATCCGTTTTCGTCCGTCGTCGTCCGTCGTCCGTCGTCCGTTAACATTTTACATTTCAAACTTAAAGTCAAGTTCTGCTAGGCCGATTGAACTGAAACTTTGTAGGAATGATCAGCTCATGGTCCTGACAAAGTTAAGTTAACATTATACTATTTTTTACTCAAATTGGTACATATTTCAACAACAACAAAAAATGCTGTAGACTCAGGTGACCGTTAAGGCCCATGGGCCTCTTGTTTGTTGGAGATCCCGATACAAATACATATGTGAGTACCTTGATCTGATTACTTTAAACTCCTGTACTTGAGAAGAAAAAGACATTATTACCAAATGTTTTGACCAAATCACTTGGTCTTCATCAACTACCGGTAATAGATGTTCACGTCTGGGTGTCTCATGATCTTGGTGGAAGAGAGGCCAGGTGAGCCAACAAATAACAGACCTTCAACAAACACTGCATCACTTAAGCTGCACAAAGAACAAAACATAAATATAATGTATGTTCAAATTTATTCTTAAATTACAAAAAATACATAATCAACTGAAAAGTATTCAATCCATTCAAACGATTCATTTCAATACAAGGAAATGAATCTTTCAATGCATAAGTATGGAGTGGAGAAAGTCTACCACAAGCTCAGAGGATTATAAATGCAAAAGGTAGAACTTTGTAATAATTTATACACAGTAGACACATGTAAAAAAAAAACATCTTTATGCTATTTTATCCCATATATTATTTGAGATGTTAAGAATGGACTATTCAGTAAATTGTTTGTTTCTTCCTGCTATGTTATCAACTGATCACCAAATTCCACATTCAATTGTTTTCATCGTTATGTCGCAGCTAGCATTCTACCATTCTAGCTCTGCCCAACCCGTACTTATTTACAGCCGAGTAGACTGGAGCAAGTGGAGTAAAGTATCTTGCTCAAAGATACAACACAGAGCCGTGCCGTGACTCGAACCCACAACCCTTCGGTCACGAGCTCTGCGTCCTACCATTAGACTACCGTGCCTCCATATTTTCATTTGATACAGTAAGGATTTTATTCCCAGGAATATCAATAAACTTCATAACGTCCAATAAGTAGACAGGTGACTTAAGTAACTTACCGGGTAAGAAGTGTAAGTACATGCAGTACTGACATACTGCAATGAAAGTTGCTGGTTTTCCTGCCTGTGAGAGAGCACAACATATCGGGATGAAAATGTTGCTTATCTTTTTTGATCAGTTGATTAATACATTTTTTATTTATTTTGTAAGTATCACCAATGGCTGTGATACTTATATAGACGCTTTCTTAATCATAGTGTATTACCCCACATGATACTGTACTAATACAATTTCATTAAAATAATTTTATATTTTGTCATCAAACATATCAAACATAAAATATAGATAGATGTACCAATTGCATTGTGTGACATCAGTATTTTGTGAACAGGGCTATTTTCACAAGGTGAATCTTTCCAGTCTAGTAACACTTTTTACCTTATTAACTAAATCTGCAAATTCAACACTATGTTAATTAAGTGCTTTTCAACATCAATGCAAAAGTATCAGAGCAAGAAATAAAAGTTTAACTACATGTACAGCTAAAACATTTTAACATCAAACTGACTACAGGTCCAAATTAAATGTAATGGTGAAGTAACAGTGAATAAAATCCAACTTTCAGCTTCTTGAGAGATTTCCAAGCCTGACGTTCGAGATCCTTATTATTGCTAAAGTAATCAGATATATATATATATATAAGTACTTTGATGGAACATCTTCTGTCAACACTTCGGTATTTTTGAGACTTTTCAATAGTATTAACATGTACAAGTACATTCACTACTGATGGACTGATAAGATCTTTAACAAACAAAATATCGTTCAGATTATAACAAAGGTAAACAAACAACTGGTGTAAAAAGAGACAAAAATGTGCAAAAAGAGGACTAATAAATCTACCTAACTTCAATCTTTTTATGACCTACACTTCAGATACACAAGGTAACCTACCGGTACGTTAATATCACTACACTTGTAGGCATATGGTTGTATACAATACCACTCATGTAAGCCCCTAGGAGCCTCAATCACTTTTACATCTATTGATATATATATATATTTCTCAAATCAACAAATTAAATTCATAATTGAAATATGAATAAAAAAATCCTGTAATTTTATATAAAATATGAAAACAAAAATCTAACTTCTCTTCATGACCCCCAAAATTCGACCTCAAAATGTCATTTGGATGATTGCCGTTATTGGCCCTGGTATGCTTCATACTATCATACTGAAGTTAGTTAAAATCTGTCAAGTTGTATTTAAGGAGAAGCTTTTTAAAGGAAATGTTATGCCATGCCATTACTTCTTTATGTTGGCCTTTGGTGAGCCAATAAATAGATGATTAAAATCATGACTAGTCAACTTGATTGTTGATATTGGTTTACAACACAATGGAAATCTTACTCTTATGTCCTGTAACAAACCTACCCATATAACGGAATTTATAAAATAATACAAGTTAATCTGCTGTCAGTATCTTAATTAATCAAACGATTATTCTGCTGTCAATGTTTTATCAGAATATCCAACTAAATCATGCACTGCAGTTGGTGTTTGTTTATAGATACTTTCACTGAACTCCTGAGAATGTTTCTCTACCTTACTTCAATGTTTGATTATTAATACAGTAACAAGAAATATTGCTCTATACCAGTAGCAAGTAAGATAAAAGGTCTATAGTAGTATAGAAATGGACCTTATCTTGCTAACCTGGTTTCATTCAAAACATTTTCTAGCTTAAAACAGCAGTTTTTTTATTTGAACGAGTATTTACTTCAGTAAGGAAAAAGTTATTTCAACTTATTATCACTTGCATGAATTTTCCAACTAGCCATGGCACTTAATGTTTCACCCAGTGTTGATTCGAAACAATATGAATTTATACAAATATGAATCTGATTTAAAAATTCAAATTCCACTGTCATTCTGATCATTTGAACCAAATTTTGTAAAATAAAATCCATTTTGTGGCTGGCATATACTGGGAAAGGTGAACAAATTAACACTTGTACAGCTGCTGAAAGACAGACATTACATGTTGGCGAGATGGGTCGGTGGGACCATAAAATGTTCATGTGAAGTAATTTGCAGGAAGAAATGGCATTTTTGAGATTGTTGCATTGATAAGTTTTTTCCGGACTTCAAATTTAACATTGGTTCCAACTTTGGCATATGGTGTTTCAATGTAGCCCATGGAGACATTTTTGCTGAGAGAAGGTGAAGGACAGCCACTGGTCAGTTTGCCAAGGACGCGATCTCCAGTCTCGTCATACACCAAAGTGCCAGCTGTAAAACAACGAGGGAAACAACATGTAGCTCACTGTCATAGTAAAACTATATTTGGACTCAGTTGTATCCTTAACCCTATTAGCTCAGGTAATGACACATTTGGACATATTTTCAAGATATTTTACTAATGATAAACATAGCCTGCTTCATTTCATATTCAAGACATTTATTTGATAATTTTTTAAGTTTATCGTCTTTTTCTGCACATTTAAGTTTAATTGTGTTGTGATCATCATTTCATAAATTCCCATTATAGCTTAGCGGAATATTGCATGACAATAAGTGATAATGAAGCAAACAGTTGACCTGTTTGGAGAAAAATTGGCTTGTCATTACAAAGCAGGTGCTTCAGAATGTCACAAAATATTGTGAATTTCCTGCACCCTGCTATTGTGTTATATGTTGTAAAACATGGGTTGAAATATCTAGTAGGGTTAAAGTACGTCATATTTAAATAAAGCTTTCTGGTATTTTAATTGAAATAAAGTAACACATACATTTGTAATATTCAAATTTTACTTGTAACATGATGCATATAGGTAACAGACAATCATTATAAACTAGACAGAAAAGACTTTCAATGCACATTCCTTATTTAGTTGGCGTAAGCAAAAGATTTAAAATATGATGGTATGATATTTCAAGTAAAGGAAAATACAATTTTGCAATTTATGCGAAAGTAAGTGGCAAGAATTGACGTACTCTATTTATGTAAAAATACATTATGAAGAAAAGAGTCAAATACCATAAATTCCATGTTAGCACATCTCTCATCACATCGCTCCTGTCATGGCTCTCAATTTGTGGCAAATAGGAGGTATAAGTATTTTTTTTTTAATTTTTTTTTTTAATTATATTTTCAAAATTTTATGACATAAACACATATATATAGATATACATACAATGTACATGGGCGTCAATAATCGCCTTTAAATAATGTACATACTGTTCAAAATATTCTATCAAGTATCAGTATTCGTCTTACATATATATTAACAAATGAGTATAAATTCACATTTTGATATAAAAAAATAAACTTCCGGATATTCTTGTCCGTACTCTATTCTAATTAAAATTGTATTATAATCCAGTGTCTGATTTCCGGTTAGAGTCACGATGGTAAACAGACTTATAAGTATTTAAATATTTTTTCCATAATAAAACACAGATATATTTTAACTGAATATTTATCAAGTACCAGCTTTCAAAACAAATTTATTGGCAGTTTTTAGCAGTCAGTCTGTCACATATATAATTTCATTAAGAGAAATTTAAATACTTCCATTTTTTTAATCAAAAATTAAATGACCATTTGAAATCAAGCAAACAATTTTCAAATCTTAACAATCTTTGAGTACTGTACTGAACATTCACTGTCAAATTCCAAGACGGCCGCCTGTCAACCATTTCTTTTATCTGATCACTCTCAAAAGTAAACACGCACAACTACGGACCACGGGAAACTTGCATATGAAATTTGAGAAAGATCCTTCCAGTTCTTTCTGAGAAATAGCAATAACAAACATTCACTGTCAAAATCAAAGATGGTGGTTATTCAGAAGTTGAAAGATTAGGTTATGTCGATCATTTGAACAAACTTAGTAGTCCTTCATCCCTACATCCTACTGGCTAAATAGTATCACCTTAGGCCTCTTGGTTATTCAGAGGAAGATGTTTAAAAGTAAACAAGTGACTCTAGACAGAGGGATGAACCACAGACGCTGCACTATAGGTGATCTATAAACTGGTCATTCAGAAAGCAGAGAGTTGGATCATACACAGCTTTACTCAGAAATTCGTTTTAACACTTGAGAGAATTTTATTTTTAATTAATTGTGATGCTTCCAGAACTGTACAAGTTAATAGTTATCATAATGAAATTATAGAAAACAATATTCTGTTGACTATACTTTCATCATTATAAAGTTGTTTTAAATATTTTGTTATCATTGTGTTTCTAACAGAAATATCTAATGGTGATCCTGTACACTTGTGGGAAATTTGCTCTTGGGTGGCAGAAGTCATAGGAAAATGGCTCTGCTATTTTCATATTTTAGATCAAGTGTTGTGAAATTCAATTTATATCATAGTTTTAAAGTGTTATACAGGCATAATCAAAATAATTTTGTGAAAATACCAGCCATGAATAGCTTAACAGCTTACCACAAATGTGTCTTGGGTAGTTGTACAAACCTGTACAGATCAGGTCTCAAGCAAAATTACAGAACATTTTTCAAAGTTTATTTTTACTTTGCTAGAACAAACGGTGAAATTTATTGTTGTCTGAAGTCACATATGAAGCTCTTATCTCTGACAATGAAACCAATAATAGGCATAAAACTCCTTACAGTGAGAGCTACAGACAGGGAACTCTTATCTCTGACAGTGAGACCAGTGGAAATAAAACTCCTTACAGTGAGAGCGACAGACAGGGAACTCTTATCTCTGACAGTGGGACCAGCAGACATAAAACTCCTTACAGTGAGAGTGACAGACAGGGAAGTCTCATCTCTGACAGTTAGACCAGAAGACATAAAACTCGTTACAGTGAGAGCTACAGACAGGGAACTTTTATCTCTGACAGTGAGACCAGAAGACATCAAACTCCTAACAGTGAAAGCTATATACAGGGAATTCTTATCTCTGACAGTGAGACCAGTGGAAATAAAACTCCTTACATTGAGAGCTACAGACAGGGAACTTTTATCTCTGACAGTGAGACCAGAAGACATAAAACTCCTAACAGTGAAAGCTACATACAGGGAATTCTTATCTCTGACAGTGAGACCAGCAGACATAAAACTCCTAACAGTGAGAGCTTCAGACAGGGAACTCTTATCTCTGACAGTGAAACCAGCAGACATAAAACTCCTTACAGTGAGAGTGACAGACCGGGCACTCTTATCTCTGACAGTGAGACCAGCAGACATACAGCTCCTCACAGTGAGAGCTACAGACAGGGAACTCTTATCTCTGACAGTGAGACCAGCAGACATAAAAATCCTTACAGTGAGAGTGACAGACAGGAAACTCTTATCTCTGACAGTGAGACCAGCAGACATACAACTCCTTACAGTAAGAGTGACAGACAGGGAACTCTTATCTCCTACAGTGAGACAAGCAGACATACAACTCCTTCCAGTGAGAGTGACAGAGAGGGAACTCTTATCTCTGACAGTTAGACCAGCAGACATAAAACTCCTAACAGTGAGAGCTACAGAGAGGGAACTCTTATCTCTGACAGTTAGACCAGCAGACATAAAACTCCTAACAGTGAGAGCTACAGACAGGGAACTCTTATCTCTGACAGTGAGACCAGCGGACATACAACTCCTTACAGTGAGAGTGACAGACAGGGAACACTTATCTCCGACAGTGAGACCAGCAGACATAAAACTCATAACAGTGAGAGCTACAGACAGGGAACTCTTATCTCTGACAGTGAGACCAGCAGACATACAACTCCTTACAGTGAGAGCTAAAGACAGGGAACTCTTATCTCTGACAGTGAGACCAGCAGACATAAAACTCCTAACAGTGAGAGCTAAAGACAGGGAACTCTTATCTCTGACAGTGAGACCAGCAGACATAAAACTCCTTACAGTAAGAGTGACAGACAGGGAACTCTTATCTCTGACAGTGAGACCAGCGGACATAAAACTCGTTACAGTGAGAGTGACAGACAGGGAACTCTTATCTCTGACAGTGAGACCAGCAGACATAAAACTCTTAACAGTGAGAGCTACAGACAGGGAACTCTTATCTCTGACAGTGAGACCAGCAGACAAAAAACTCCTTAAAGTGAGAGAGACAGACAGGGAACTCTTATCTCTGACAGTGAGACCAGCAGACAAAGAATACTTATCAATGAGAGGTGTAGCTAAGCAAACATGCAGGACTTACCTCTGGCTGGAGCACCAGTTGAAAGAAAACCAACACGTTTAGATTTAGGCTTGTTCTTAATCTGTTTTAAGATAATATCAGCTCCAGGAAAGTTAGCTTCTGCTCTTCGCCGCTTGCCTAAAATCAAAACAGAAATGTTTCATATCTATTAGTCATAGTTTTAAACATATATATTTAACAACAGGACAACATTTTATTAGATATCATTAAATCTTCTGGTCAATTCCCAGACTTCATAAAATTCGCCTATTTATAAACAAAAGAAAATAACATTCAAGATGCCATCTCAAGAGCAGGTAGCGCTACTCAGTGTGTCGATAGGCTACATAGTGTGTCGATAGGCTAATGGTGTGTCAATAGGCTACATAGTGTGTCAATAGGCTACATAGTGTGTCAATAGGCTACATAGTGTGTCAATAGGCTACATTTTGAGTCAATAGGCCCCATTTACTGTGTCAAAAGGCTAATTGTGTGTCAATAGGCTACACAATGTGTCAATAGGCTACATAGTGTGTCAATAGGCTACATTGTGTGTCAATAGGCTACATAGTGTGTCAATAGGCCCCATATACTGTGTCAATAGGCTACATTGTGTGTCAATAGGCTACATCGTGTGTCAATAGTCTAATGGTGTGTTAAAAGGCTACATTGTGTGTCAACAGGCTACATTGTGTGTCAATAGAATACAAAATGTGTGTCAATAGGCTACACAATGTGTGTCAAAAGGCTGCATAGTGTGTCAAAAGGCTACATTGTGTGTCAATAGGCTACATAATATGTCAATAGGCCCCATATACTGTGTCAATAGGCTACATTGTGTGTCAATAGGCTACATTGTGTGTCAATAGGCTAATGGTGTGTCAATAGGCTACACAATGTGTGTCAATAGGCTACATAATGTGTGTCAAAAGGCTTATGGTGTGTCAATAGGCCCCATATACTGTGTCAAAAGGCTAATGGTGTGTCAATAGGCTAATGGTGTGTCAATAGGCTACATTGTGTGTCAATAGGCTACAATGTGTGTCAATAGGCTACATAGTGCGTCAATAGGCTAATTGTGTGTCAATAGGCTACATAGTGTCACTATTAATGTGTCAATAGGCTAACGGTGTGTCATAAGGCTACATAGTTTTATTATTAGTTTGTCAATAGGCTTATGATGTGTCAATAGACTACATAGTCTCAATAGGCTAATGGTGTGTCAATAGGCTACATAGTGTGTTGATATGCTAATTGTGTGTCAATAGGCTATAAAATGTGTCAATAGGCTAAAGGTGTGTCAATAGGCTACATTGGGTGTCAATATGCTAATGGTGTGTCAAAAGGCTACATAGCATGTCAATAGGCTAAGGGTTTGTCAATAGGATATATAATGTGTCAATAGGCTACATAGTGTGTCAATAGGCTACACAGTGTGTCAATAGGCTACACAGTGTGTCAATAGACTAATGGTGTGTCAATAGGCTAATAGTGTTTCAATATGCTACATAGTGTGTCGATAGGCTAATGGTATGTCAATAGGCTTAACAGTGTGTCAAAACATTACATAGTGTGTCAATAGGCTACATAGTGTGTCAATAGGCTACATAGTGTGTCAATAGGCTACATAGTGTGTCAATAGGCTACATAGTGTGTCAATAGGCTACATAGTGTGTCAATAGGCTACATAGTGTGTCAATAGGCTACATAGTGTGTCAATAGGCTTCATATTGTGTCAATAGGCCCCATTTACTGTGTCAAAAGGCTAATTGTGTGTCAATAGGCTACACAATGTGTCAATAGGCTACATTGTGTGTCAATAGGCTACATAGTGTGTCAATAGGCCCCATATACTGTGTCAATAGGCTACATTGTGTGTCAATAGGCTACATCGTGTGTCAATAGTCTAATGGTGTGTTAAAAGGCTACATTGTGTGTCAACAGGCTACATTGTGTGTCAATAGAATACAAAATGTGTGTCAATAGGCTACACAATGTGTGTCAAAAGGCTGCATAGTGTGTCAAAAGGCTACATTGTGTGTCAATAGGCTACATAATATGTCAATAGGCCCCATATACTGTGTCAATAGGCTACATTGTGTGTCAATAGGCTACATTGTGTGTCAATAGGCTAATGGTGTGTCAATAGGCTACATAGTGTGTCAATAGGCTAATGGTGTGTCAATAGGCTACATAGTGTGTCAATAGGCTACATAGTGTTTCAATAGGCTACATAGCATGTCAATAGGCTACATATACAGTGTCAATAGGTTATATAGTATGTCAATAGGCTAATGGTGTGTCAATAGGCTACATAGCGTGTCAATAGGCTACATAGTGTGTCAATAGGCTACATAGTGTGTCAATAGGCTACATAGTATTTCAATAGGCTACATAGTGTTTCAATAGGCTACATATACAGTGTCACTATTGGTGTGTCAATAGGCTATATAGTGTGTCAATAGGCTAATGGTGTGTCAATAGGCTACATAGTTTGTCAATAGGCTATATAGTGTGTCAATAGGCTAATGGTGTGTCAATAGGCTACATAGTTTGTCAATAGGCTAATGGTGTCAATAGGCTACATAGTGTGTAAATAGGCTGCATAGTGTGTCAAAAGGCTACAAAGTGTGTCAATAGGCTACATTGTGTGTCAATAGGCTACACAGTGTTTCAATAGGCTACATAGTGTTTCAATAGGCTACATAGCATGTAAATAGGCTACATAGTATTTCAATAGGCTACATAGTATTTCAATAGGCTACACAGTGTGTCAATAGGCTACATAGCATGTAAATAGGCTACATATACAGTGTCCCTATTGGTGTGTCAATAGGCTACAGAGTTTGTCAATAGGCTAATGGTGTCAATAGGCAACATAGTGTGTAAATAGGCTACATAGTGTATCAATAGGCTACATAGTGTTTCAATAGGCTACATAGCATGTAAATAGGCTACATAGTGTCCAAATAGGCTGCATAGTGTTTCAAAAGGCTTATGAGGTGTCAATAGGCCCCATATACTGTGTCAAAAGGCTACATAGTGCGTCAATAGGCTAATTGTGGGTCAATAGGCTACATAGTGTCACTATTAATGTGTCAAAAGGCTAACAGTGTGTCATAAGGCTACCTAGTTTTATTATTAGTTTGTCAAAAGGCTTATGGTGTGTCAATAGACTAAATAGTCTCAATAGGCTAATGGTGTGTCAAAAGGCTACATAGTGTGTTAATAGGCTAATTGTGTGTCATTTGGCTATAAAATGTGTCAATAGGCTAAAGGTGTGTCAATAGGCTACATAGCATGTCAATAGGCTAAGGGTTTGTCAATAGGATATATAATGTGTCAATAGGCTACACAGTGTGTCAATAGGCTAATAGTGTGTCAATAGGCTAATAGTGTTTCAATATGCTACATAGTGTGCCGATAGGCTAATGGTGTTTCAATAGGCTTAACAGTGTGTCAAAACATTACAGTGTGTCAATAGGCTACATAGCATGTCAATAAGTTACACAGTATGTCAATACGTTAAATAGCATGTCAATATGTTACATAGCATGTCAATGTTTCATTACATGTCAATATGTAATTACATTGTGTGTTCTTGTGTCACATAGTGTTGATTTGGTATATTACATGTATGTCGATATGTATAAAGTGTATTTGTTCCTGCATATTTTCACACAGATTAACTTGAAAAGATTTATCACATAATGTACTATGTTATCCAGTGAATATACCCATGTTATATTTTTTAGTGCATTAACCCATGTAATATGATCTATCAGCCCTGTGATTGGTTGTAAGTTTCAATTGTTTCAATTGTGACGTCACGCAAAGGACAAGTACATGACGTCACAGACTTACGCACTGGAGTCAAAATGGCGGAATTTTACATTTCAAGGTTGCATGAAAATTGTTGTTTAACACAAATAAATGCCACAAATCTTGATTATGTGATAAAAAGGATCTGACACTCGTTTTCATTTCATATGAAATTGACGAAACCCGTCACAGATTTTTCATTTTAGCTAGCCAGAGGCTCGCTAAGTAGAAAAATTCTTAAGACTCCTTTCATAAATCTCATATGAAATTGAAACTCATGTAAGATCCTATATAGGTATATGTTATACTTTAACAACCAACAAAAGTTGTAAAATCTACAGAACTCACCTATAGTCCATAAAAGGCTAGCTTCTACTGGAGTTGTTTCCTCGTCAATATCGTTGCCATAGAGACAAAGTCCTGCTTCCAGACGAAGACTGTCTCTAGCACCAAGACCAGCCAGGCATACTTTTGCTGCATCAGAACTTATCAGAGCATTAGCCAGTTCCTCCGCTCTGTCAGCAGGCACTGATATCTGTAAGAAAATTAGGTTAACTTTTAAGAATATCATGTTTGTTTCATTCTTGACAGCCAAGCTATATGAAATGTCATACAAGGACAAATGGTTATAATGAATATGTCTGTAATTTCAAAAGGAACTTTTTAATTTATTAGTCTATTTTGACCTCAAACAAGATGTCCAATAGGCATTGCTAACCTGGATTACATCTCACACTTTTAACCTTCAAAGTGGACTCAAAAACGGTACAGGAAAAACATCATTACCTATGACTATAAGTCATTCAAAAGTACCTGTTTAAAGATTTAAACATATTTGAGTCCTATGACCTTAAAAGTCTAACAAGGTCATTAAGTTTAACAAACTTTATAGCCCTTCATCTCAGCATGTTAATTACTTGCCAAATATCACCACCCAAGACCAATTGCTTATTGAGTAGAGGTCATTAAAGGTTTATACACATTTGACCATGACCTTGGAAGTGAGTCAAGGTTATTCACAAGAACAAATTTAATAGCTCTTCATCTGAGCATGCTACTGGCCAAATATTATCACCTTAGACTATTAGCTTATTCAGGAGAAGCTGTTTAAAGTTTTTAACTGATTTAATCCCTGTGAACTGAAACATGGGTGAAGGTCATTCATTTGAATAAATTTGATAGCCCTTCATGATCATCAAAACATTCTACTGGCCAAATATCATCACCCTGGACCTTTTGTTTACCATATTCAGAAGTTGTTTAAAGCTTTTAACATATTTGACTCCTCTGACCTTGAATATGAGTGAAAGTCATTCATTTGAGAGAAAAACACTTGCCTAACCTTGTCACTCTACACTCAGGAGCACCAAACACTATATTCACCTCCACCCCATCCTCCCCTGTATCACCTTGTCACTCTACACTCAGGGACACCAAACTCTGTAATCACCTCCCCCCCATCCTCCCCTGTGTAACCACACCTTGTCACTCTACACTCAGGAACATCAAACACTGTACTCACCTCCACCCCATCCTCCCATGTGTAACCACATCTTGTCACTCTACACTCAGGGACACCAAACTCTGTATTCACCTCCACCCCATCCTCCCCTGTGTAACCACACATTGTCACTCTACACTCAGGAACACCAAACTCTGTAATCACCTCCACCCCATCCTCCCCTGTATAACCTTGTCTCTTCACACTCAGGGACACCACACACTGTACTCACCTCCACCCCATCCTCCCCTGTATCACCTTGTCACTCTACGCTCAGGGACTCCAAACGCTGTACTCACCTCCACCCCATCCTCCCCTGTATCACCTTGTCACTCTACGCTCAGGGACTCCAAACGCTGTACTCACCTCCACCCCATCCTCCCCTGTATAACATTGTCTCTTCACACTCAGGGACACCAAACACTGTACTCACCTCCCCCCCATCCTCCCCTATATAACCTTGTCACTCTACACTCAGGGACACCACACACTGTACTCACATCCACCCCATCCTCCCCTGTATAACCTTGTCTCTTCACACTCAGGGACCCATCCTCCCCTGTATCACCTTGTCACTCTACACTCAGGGACACCAAACTCTGTAATCCCCTCCACCCCATCCTCCCCTGTGTAACCACTCATTGTCACTCTACACTCAGGAACACCAAACTCTGTAATCACCTCCACCCCATCCTCCCCTGTATAACCTTTTCTCTTCACACTCAGGGACACCAAACACTGTACGCACCTCCACCCCATCCTCCCCTGTGTAACCACACCTTGTCACTCTACACTCAGGAACACCAAACTCTGTACTCACCTCCACCCCATCCTCCCCTGTATAACCTTGTCTCTTCACACTCAGGGACACCAAACACTGTACTCACCTCCACCCCATCCTCCCCTATATAACCTTGTCACTCTACACTCAGGGACACCAAACACTGTACTCACCTCCAACCCATCCTCCCCTGTGTAGCCACATCTTGTCACTCTACACTCAGGAACACCAAACACTGTACTCACCTCCACCCCATCCTCCCATATATAACCTTGTCACTATACACTCAGGGACATCACACACTGTACTCACCTCCACCCCATCCTCCCCTGCATCACCTTGTCTCTCTACACTCAGGGACACCAAACATGGTACTCACCTCCACCCCATCCTCCCCTGTATAACCACACCTTGTCACTCTACACTCAGGGACACCAAAAACTGTTGCCAGGATGTTGGTCATAAATGGAAGAGTTGATAGGTCAAAGTCCAATCCAGTTTGTAGTACTTTTGCCATTTTAGGACCTAGAAACCCAAACAAAAACAAAAAAGTCTTTATTTTCACCAACTAACACTGGACGTCAATAATCCATTCATCTCGACTGATCTTTTTAAAACCTTACCAGGGAATTATAAAGTAGTGTTGGAATATACATGCATCTCAACATCAGCAACAGACAGGCATAAAGCACAATGATACAGAGTTGTCATAAATCTGATTTTGTTTATAAGCAAATATCAGGTCTTAAGTTATTTGAAGTGATAAAAAATATATGTGAGATGTTTAGGGTGTTTCCCCCATATTTTGGGAATGACCATCTAACTTCATACAAATAAAATTGATGCCATATCATATTGTCTATCCACTGATATCCTTTCTTCACCAATTAATTTTTGTTTAAGAATGAAGGAATACCTAAAGTCCTTCTTGCTACAACAGAGCATTCATAAAGAAAATTGAGCTACATAATTTCAATACGAAATTGTGCATGCCTGCTAAAAAAAAGTTTTTTTCCATTCAGAATAGGACCAGAAATTCTTTCCATATATATACAGCTGTAGGCATTGTATCACAATTGAAAGCCTGTGAAATCTGGAGTCACACATAATGAAATTGATCATAAACACTTTTGTGTTTAGATTAACTCATAGAGAATTTCCTCAATGCTTAACTGACCTTATTATCTCTAAACAAAATCTCCTTTAATAACTAATAACAAAAATCGAACAAGAACACACATAAACAGCAAAATGGATGTTATTTCACTAAAAGACTTCAAACATATTCTGAAAAGAAATAACCACTCGAACTTGCCAAAATATAAGAAAATTTACAGGTGTATAATTTTCCATTTCATGCAATTTAAATTTGTAACAAGATTTAAGGAAAGTTGCCAATGCCAAACAAACACTTATGATAATGCTAATATGCCAAAACTACAAACCCTGAAGTGCAAGTAGTCCATTATCAATCACCTCCATGTTAACATCCATGCCTTTTCCCTGAGATTCTGCAAGATTTTTCTGCATAACAAACAGGAATTATATAACTCTTAATGCACTGTACTCTATTGCTAAGTTAAAATGTGTAAGTCAATTACAGCTAATTTCAAACAAACTTATATTAACATGAAAGCTTAACTACAGTATGAATGGGTAAATGACACATACTGTTAAACAAACTAACTAGGAACATGTTTATTACAAATTCCTGTTATTAACAAAGCCAGAGTTGAGTCCTCTGACAAAGATTGTCTCATGAACATCAAACTCTGTAACAGATTATGCTTAGGTTCATTGCAATTGGGGTTCATAATAAACAGGTTTTACTGTAAAATGCCTATACATGTATTGCTTCTTTGCAATATAGTTGTATTTTTGTTTTTGTTATTAAGACATGTGATCTAGCTTAAATATTATATACAGCATAGCGATAATGTATAACAATTGATAAGTTTCCTCCCTGGTGTTTAGGAGGAGATGCGTTTTAAAGCAAATTTAGCTAAGTTCCCCTTTAGGGCCCCGCCCCCCTGGCCCAAGGGGTCGAACCAACCTAATTTATTTAAGAAATGATTTCCCTCCCCTAGTGATGCTTCAGACTGAGTTTGGTTGAAATCCTCTTTGGCGTTTAGGAGGAGATAGGTTTTAAAGAAAAAGTTGACGACGGACGACGACAACGGACGATGCGCCACGGCATAAGCTCACCTTGGTCCTTCAGACCTGGTGAGCTAAAATCCCTGACCAATTGCTAGGCTGACACTGTCCTTTGAAGATTACAGAGGACCCACACATCACTTCAAAGCCAGTCAGTTTTATATATTTTTTTATGTATATCATTCTCATTTATTCAAATTAATAATTGAAATACAAACCTTTATATGATCCAAGTCCTTTTCTGCACATCCTGCATTAGATACCACATATACGTATCCTTGGTAGGTTTTAGAGACGATGAGATCATCAATGATTCCCCCTGTAGTATCGGTGAGCAGAGAAAGTGTTCCCTGGTTCTCTTTTAGTGCTGCTATATCACCAACAACCAGACTCTCTATGAAGGCCACACTGTCTTTGCCAGTAAATTTTGTCTGTAACATGTGGGAGACATCAAAGAGTCCTACTTCTGATCGAACGTGTAAGTGAGAAGCTGAAACCCCTTGTTGTGCATACATGACCGGCATCTCCCATCCACCGAATGGTACCATCTTTGCACCATTTTTGACATGGAAGTCATACAAACAGGTGCGTTTTTCTGCCTAGAAATAGAAAGTATTAAACAACATTCACAAGCACCAACCTGCATCACTAATTTAGCTATTGTTTATCTGACTTCTGACATAGAAGTTGCGTATACTATTAAGCCTTTAAAATATACCTTATTATAATAAACATGTTTAGTTATATCTGTGACTTTAAATGAAGGTCAAGGTCAAATTTATTTGACAAACATGATAACAAGCGAGATAATACTCTATCATTACTCTACACCTTATGGTGGGAAGGTTTTAACTTATTTCACTCGTGCAAACTTCAAAGTTTGTCGAGGTCATTTATTAGAACAAGCCTAAACGTGTGTTATCCCAGTAAACTACAATCCAAATGTAACTATATGGGCCTTGAGGACTTCAGAAAAAAATTAACCCATGCAACCATGAAAATAGGTCAAGATCATAATTCAGAACAAGAGGCACAGAGGGCCTGTATCGCTCACCTGAATATGTTTAAAATAATTGGTATGAAGTAAAGATATAGCACTCCGTGGTAGGTGCTGTAAGCACATATGAAATTTCAGAAGATCCATCCAGTACTTGAGATATAGCGAGAACAAACTTTAAACAGAGCCCCAACCCTATGCCCCTAGGGGGGGTCATACCCACCGTTTATACAAAATTGAGTCCCCTTGGCCCAAGGATGCTCCAGACTAAATAAGGAAAAAATCTCTTAATCCCAATGGTCAAAGAAGGATTTTAAAGGTTTTACCTCTATTTCTCCTATTGGACCCCGCCCTTCTGCCCCTGGGAGGCCACACCCACTGCTTATACAAAATTGAGTGCACTTGGCCCAAGGATGCTCCAGACTAAATTAGGATAAAATCCCTTAATCATTATGGTAGAAGAAGGATTTTAAAGGTTTTACCTCTATTTCCCCTATTGGGCCCCTCTGCCTCCAGGGGGGGTTAGACACACCGCTTATACAAAATTGGTTCCCCTTCACCCAATGATGCTTCATACCAAATTTGGACAAATTCCTGTCATTCGTACAGAAGAAGGTATTTGAAGAATTTGCTATGTTTCCCCTATTGGGCCCCACCCATTGGCCCCCACCCTTGGGCCCCCAGGGGGGCCACACTCACTGCTTATACAAAATTGAGTCCCTTTTGCCCAAAACCCTCCAGACCAAACTGGGAAGAAATCCCTTCATCCCTATGGTAGAAGAAGGATTTTAAAGGTTTACCTCTATTTCCCCAATTGGGCCCCACCCTTCTGCCCTCTTGGAGACCACACCTACTGCTTATACAAAATTGAGTCCCCTTGGCCCAATGATGCTCCAGACTAAATTAGAATAAAATCCCTTAATCCTTATGGTAGAAGAAGGATTTTAAAGGTTTTACCTCTATTTCCCCTATTGGGCCCCATCTCTCTGCCTCCAGGGGGGTCAGAGACATCGTTTATACAAAATTGGTTCCCCTTTACCCAAGGATGCTTCAGACCAAATATGAAACAAATCGTTTCATTCCTACAGAAGAAGGATTTTAAAGAATTTGCTATATTTCCCCTATTGGGCCCCGCCCCTCAGCCCCCTGGGGGGCCAGACCCACCATTTATACAAAATTGAGTCCCCTTGGCCTAAGCATGCTCCAGATCAAATTTAGTCAAAATCTACCAGGCTGTTCAGGACTAGTAGCGTTATAAAGGAAAAGTTGACGGACGGACGTACGCTGCAGTATGGCATCAGCTCACTATAGTCCTTCGGACCAGGTGAGCTAAAAACTTGATAGCAAGCTACAGGACAAATGTGATCACTCAAGATATCACAGATCTTTAATACTGTAAATTGAGATGCCTTTTAGATGTTTTGGATGCTCAAGTACGTATACCACCAGTATCATAAAGAACATGCTCAAACAACTCTAGAGGTATCCCTTCAGGCCTGGAGTCACAGAAGATTAAAGGATCATATTAAAAGCTCACGATGCTGTACAAGAGAACAAGGTGACTACAGATACAGTCAGCAATTAGTATGACTATCACTAATGGAATCAAGTATAGCCATTGTGGAAACACAAAACCCAGTGCTAGATATTTGATCCAAATGATCTGTCTGTAACAGGAGAGGAAAATGCACGGCCAGACCGGGGTTCAACCCGGGACCCTCCGAATTCTAGACGGATGCTCTACCAATTGAGCTATCTGGTCGCTGACAATCGACCCAGCCCAGTTCTGCTACATTCCTCCCTCCTTTAACAAAGTCTTCAACCCCGAAGACACACGAAACCCTATACCACTTTCTGTGGGTATATTTCGTTGGGCGCCAAATGTAACAGAAGAGGAAAATGCACGGCCAGACTGGGGTTCGAACCCGGGACCCTCCGAACTCTAGACGGATGCTCTACCAATTTAGTTATCTAGTTGCTGACGATCGACCCAGTCCAGTTCCGCTACATTAGAGTTTATAATAGGATGAGGAAAAGTGACAAAGATAGTGCCGTCGTCAAGGGAAATTCCCTACAGCTGACGCTTGTAAGGCAACCTAATCAATGCACTTCTTTTACACTACTCCCCCCTTTTTTCTAACACCACACCAGGTTCTTTGACTCCCCACCAAGGGTTCTCCTACCTTGAACGGGGCGGGCCAACGGCACCAGTTTGTAATAGGACGAGGAAAAGTGACAAAGATAGTGACGTCGCTGGGGCTCGAACCCGCGACCCTTGGTTCTCCAGCCCGATGCTCTACCCCTGAGCTAAAAGAAAATTCCCTACAACTGACACTTGTAAGGCAACCTAATCAATGCACTTCTTTTACATGTCGTCCCTGTTTGACTGTACAGGCAGTTGGCAGACCAAATGTTTTTGACAATTTCTCGAGGTTAGTCAAGCAGCATGCTTTATAGATATCTTGTGCCTATGGTATTTACTTTTTTTTCTCTTTTCCTTCAAGATATTTTAGTTGCACAAGTGGATTTCTAACTTGGATGCTAGCTAGTTTAACATTCAACATCATGATAGCAGAAACTGAATTATTTAATTTACAACCAAATCATGCATCTGGCATTCTTCTGAGTCTACAGTACTTTATTTCAATGATATTACAAATGTCATCATGAAATTATTATCAGTATTTTGTGCAGCCTAAAGATTGCAAAGGCATCTATTATACATTTTATTGTTTCTATTAATGTATTTAAAGAAAAGGACTGTGATAAGTTGTGAAAATTTGTGTCCAATTCTTTTGTAAATATTGATTTGCAATAAAAAATAGTTTAAATCACAATATAGATTTTATATTATGCATTTGATTTCTGTTGACATAATTTTTATCCTGTTGTTTCACAGAGTGGTATATTTATGGCAGATTTTGATTGTACATTGGATTACGGTCACCTTCTGGCTTCACACTAGAGTGAATTTCCGTTTAGTTCAGTGAAAGAGCGTCCGACTAGGAACCTAACTCACGATCCCAGTGGAAGCACACTCCTCTCTTTCCTGTTACAAATGGTATCCGTGGCTCTCCCTGTGGTGACAGGGAGTTGGAACCTGGGTTGTGGTGTTCAAGACCAACACATTTAAAAAGGAAGGAGTCATGCGGCAGATTTTAATGATACATAGGATTACGGTCGCCTTCTTGCTTCACAATAGAGGCAATTTCCCATCAGCTCAGTTGTAGAGCATCTGACAAGGAACCTAGGGATCACAGGTGGAAGCACACTACACGCTTTCCTGTTACATATATGAGGTTTAGGCCGATTTTCGTCGTCTGTGACTTGGACAGTAACGTTCAATTTTGTACTAAAATTTGTAGTATGGAGTGACCCTGTGTAGTGGTTTTGGCTCTTGCTAGCTAGGTGTACGTACCCTTAGTTGCGATGTTAATGTACTCTGGGGGGTACAGCCTAGAGTTTTCGGATGGACATTCTGTCTGGTTTGACGAATGTCTGCTACGGTAATATGGCTTATTTGTTATGGTGGCCATCTTGCGAGGTGGCCTGGGGAACAGTTGTGTATTGCGCTGTCATTGGTCGAGACCGCAGTGATGGAGCCAGTCACCGAGTCTCTTAGTTATTTACAGGTGTTAACCTGGGTAGGTTCACTAGGGGTCAAGAGGTCAGGGCTATATAAGTCGCACACGTGCATGAAACCATGCCTTTCCCTGCTGGAGATTTGGTGAGATTCAGAGGGATTTCTGCAGCCATTACTGATGCTTTGAAAGCAGAATGAGTTTACATAGACATACGATGACGTTCTGAAAGCAGAGCGACATAATGGACTGGTTTAGTCCTGTTTAGGAAACGCTCTGAAAACAGAGTGTCACTTTCACATCTAATGTAGTATCGTAAATAAATAGGCTACTCTCTGAAAACAGAGTGACATGCAGAATTATCTCTAGGGTATAGCTTGTACTTAGTTACAATGCCGTTTAAAACCATTTAGGCCTTCTGACAATTGAATTAACATGAGGTTGTAGTGTTTATTATGTAGTGTTTTCCTTAGGAGAGAGTCTATAGCCTGTCTCGTAGGCAGAAAGTTGATAGCTATGTACAAGACGTGTTGGCCCAACGTGGCACCAACATTGTATAAATCTCAGCTTAAACAAAATATATATGAGCATATATGTAACGATGTCTGTCAAACGCTGTAATACCCTTTTGACCTAGGTACACTAGATAAATGATCTTCAAATAACATGTCATTTCGTAACATTCAGTTGGGTCGCTTAAGAGATTGACATGTTATAAATCTGGTAAGCAACTTTTATCATTACATCAGCCTTAATGGCGTATTTTGACTTCGTTAACCTGGTTATGTACCTTTTTAATAGCTTATGTACAATTTCAATATATTTAAATTACATACATATAACGTAGTACTAATATTGATACCCTCTGCACTGGGTGATAAGGGTATTTGAATATGACTTGCCAGGGGATTGAGATTTAGGGTGACTATTACATCTTTTAGGGGGCTTGTTGAACTGAGGGCCTGTTCGTTTATGCGTAACAACCGTTTCGTTTATAAATGTAACAATTTCGGGTATAAATCCTGGCGGACCTGCAAACGTTTATGCAGGCCTTGCAAGGCTTTATCAAGGCTCCCCTAAAAGCAGCATTAGAATACTAGGTCCGACCTTATTTAATAAACGAACAACTGTGGTCCGACCGGTTTGGCCGTTAAACGAAAACGGCCCAGCAGTTTAACTTCAGTTCAGCCCGATGTGAAACGAACCCTACAACCATCAGTTTGTTTACTTCTAATTTGGTTACTGTCGGACACACTTACACTCGATGAGGCGTACCGCCTCGTGCATCCCATATAATGTATTTTCAACTGTTGACATTTAGTAATTCCTGAAAATGCCCTCAAAACTTCAGTTAAAATGCGGCTCATCTTTACAGGAAATCTAGCAGATGACAAAAACACTTTAGAAGGACACACAGCATTATATTATTAGTTGCGTATTATATGAGCTTCTATACTTTTGAAATACGCATTTTGTTTTGGATAAAAACCAATCATTGAATACACTTTTTATAATCTCCTAAATAGATAAAACCCCGTCACCCTTCAGTATAAATTAAGTGTAAATATGCCTAGCTCTGCTTATTGCCATTATTATATTTAGTTTTACAACAGACATTATGATTGGTGCATTGGAGCTTTTTTTCTTTTTTCTTTTTCTTTAGTGTTGTCTGTGCAGCATTTTACATTATGTATAGACTTCTTGACGATTTACCCAAGCTCAGCCTAACATTAAAAACTCGGAGTAGATATAATTTAAAGCATTAGTTATCGAAGAAGACAAAGTGATCAATGGGTAAAACCGCGTATCCAATCATATGTACTCTTGCATTTGTTTAATTTACCCGGTGAAATCATTCGGAATTTTCTAGACTTTCCAACCAAAAAGGAGAAAGAGTCCGACGCCTTCCGATGAAACAACGTGAAACAGAAAGTTGAAAAGGGTAGCAGTTAGCACAAAAACGCCAAAATGTTGTACTTAGAAGATTATTTAGAAAGTATGTTGATATTGAAATCATTAAACATAACATGTTATTTTTATAATTAACCATTTTAATGGTCATGTACCTGTCTATGCTTAGAAATTGATTTGTTTGTGTATGCTGTATACTGGAACAACATAAAAACGCACTGTCACAGTGCCAGATTGCTATGTTTCACTGATACGGCAAAGGCTGTGGTTATCAGTTATTATAAAATCATCGAATATTTCCCAACTGCCAGACGTATGACGTATTTTGACTATGTTCACAACGTAATGCAGATGAAAAAATAATATAGCTGTTTGTCCATATGGACAGTTTGGACACCACTATGCATACGTTATGGATTGTTCATAAGTTAATCCATATTATCTGTATTTTATGGTAACTAACAGCAAGTGACTGTGAAGATAAGGTAAAACAACACTTAGAAAAGGTATAAAACAAAATAGCCTGAAAATGACCCCGCATTTACCAGCTTCGGAATAACCCAGTGCTGCCAATTTATTACAATTTAGATTACATACCATTTTGTAAAATTTTTGTTCTAGTCTTCACAAAATCTCTACTCAAATGGCATGACAATGGTAGCCAAAGTGTATTCATTATTATAAGTATTTTTTTCTGATTAACCTGCGTCCTTCTGCACAGTATGAATGAAATCCTTGAAAATTACATGGTTCCTTTCAAATTTCTTTGAAAAGAATATGGCAAGGGGACATCCTAAGCACTAATCTTAAAGGATTAATGCATTTTCAAACTGTTAACTCACTTGTTTCATATGAACTACTTAATTTGACCGCTTGATCATTAAAAGAGGTACATGGTTTTATGTAATAAAGGTTGATATAGTACAGTACAATTTTTAGAGAAGTTGCATATTCTGAAAGTTTAAGAACTAAACTAGCTCTGTCTATGATCCAACAGTTTACATCCTTTTTCCAGTGTTAAAATACAAAAATGTTCATCAGGGTATACAGTGATACATTTATAGTCCTTTATGTAAAATACATGTAGTAATGGACATGTTTTTGTTTTCCTGTTTCAGTGATAGAAAACCTTCCTATGGAAATGAGGGAAAAATTAACAGAAATGAGAGAAATGGATCTTCAAGTTCAAAGTAAGATAGGAACATTCTGCAATGCGAAGAATTGGAATTGAAGAACAAAAGCCCCATTTTCCATTTCTATAATTTTACTATTGAAAGAGCCAAACTGTCTTCATTACATATATAAACTGACAACATTTATCCTAAGTTCCTAACCCGTTTTATTCTCTGAAAGAGAAATAAGTAACATGTCATTTCAGGATTAGATTAACTCCTTCATATAGAAAACTTAAATTGATCAATCATAACTGCAATTAAGATTCAGTCCAATCCGCTAAAACCTTTCCTAAACCTGCAATGCTCCAAACTCTCTTTGTTTTCTACTAAGTACACACAATACACTGTATAGCAGAAGCATGTGCACAAGAGTTTTACTGTCAATAACAATTTTTAAATAGAAGAGGTCAGAGTGGAGCTTAAACCATCTGAAAAAAAGTCTTTTACACTGCTACCAGATCTATCATGTTTAATATTGTCTGATGTGTCATGTTAATGAATTTTACCCATGACACAAACTTTTTACAAACAAAGTTTTTTATACTCGAAATATGATTCCAGAAAGTTTTTTGTATAGTTTCATATATAGATATGTATCTTTAATTTATAGATGCCCTGGATAGTTTAGATGAGCGAGTAAAGACCTTTTTCAAGAAATGTATTCAAACAAATGTCAAATCTGAATCAAAGGAAGAAGAATTCGAGAAAATTAAACAGGTAAGTTGCTCTTAGTGATAAATAATGATTAGATAGGACGATTACAAAATTACCTTTGCCTGTAATGCTGATTCATTTATAGAAATGATAAATAGATACAATGCATTATGTTTAACATGCTCAAATAACAGAAAACAAAACAAACTAAATTTGATCAGTACCCATAATCATAATTGCCATGTTATAATTATAAAGTAGGTAAATTAACTACCAGAAATGAAACACTAGCTACCCAGTAACTCCAGAGATGAAAAATCAAATCAAGATCTTTACCAATAACTAAATGTTGCCAATATTCAAGAAATATATAAATTACAATATTTTGAATTTAAAGTATTGCAGTAGATTGATATTGATATCTATATGCTTATTATAAACACAGAACAAAAGTGATTATACCAAACAAGATAACATTTCAGACTGATCCTGATTGACAGCTCTCAGACATCCAACTCATGGTACTTAACTTACTTCTGACATGCTTTGATGAAAACATGTCTACTCTTAATGTTGATTAACTGGGAAATACTAACTAATAGAAGAAATCCCTGGTGTTGATGCTCCATACCTTATACCTACTTGTAATATAAGAAATAGTTTAGTCTGAGTTTATATATAAATATTTTGTTTTAGGATTATTACAAGTCACTTGAAGATGCAGACGAAAAAGTACAGTTAGCCAATCACATTCATGATTTGGTATGTATATGGTACATGTATATCATGTGTTTGTTGACGAAATGGTGTTAAAAAAGGGAAATGTCAAAGCTTTGGCAGGTCTTTGTAATAATTATATATTGAATTTGATCAAAAGTAGGATGTGAATGAAGATTCTGATTTCAAAGTAAAAATATGATGAAGAAACATCAGGAGGTATGCTTTTATGTCCAAAATATGACAATTTTTGGAGATGGCACTTTTAAAGTAGCGATTGATTGGCCCCATTGTTTGTGGCCTCATCTTAAATGACCCTAGCTGTAGCGAGGATGCAAAACCTTAACAAAATTCTTGCTATTAGTCAATGCAACCAGCTGTTAATTAAACTTGTTTTATTGAAATATTTAAGAATGATTCAAGCCGAAGGGCCTATAATTTATATTGGGTATAAGTGATATTGATATTTTATCTGAACAGGTTGACAGACATTTGCGTAAATTAGATCAAGAATTGTCAAAGTTTAAGATGGAACTAGAAGCTGATAACATGGGTATAACTGAAGTCTTAGAAAAACGTGAGTACACATGTTTCAAATTTTCAATTGATTAACTTGTGGTACAATGTATATTCCCTGAATGTTGTTTCAATACAGCAATGAAAAATACCAAAATATATTTTCAGCTCACCTGGCCCAAAGGGCCAAGTCAGCATATGCCGTTTGTGGTGCGGCGTCTGTCGTCCGTCGTCAATATTTTACTTTAAACAACTTCTACTTAATAACGAAAAGGCCTAGGATGATGATATTTAGCCAGATGCAAACTGGGATGAAGGGCTACCAAGTTTGTTCAAATAAATGAATTTCAACAATTTTCAAGGTCACATGAGTCAAATATGTTAAAAAATTTAAACAACTTCTTCTGAATAATCAAAACGCCCAGGATGTTTATATTTAGCCAGTAGCATGCTAGGATGAAGGGCTACTAAGTTTGTTCAAATTAATGACCTTCAGTCTTTTTCAAGGTCACAGGGGTCAAATATGTTGAAAACCTTTAAACAGCTTCTTCTGCATGCCCAAGAGGCATAGGAAAATGATATTTAGCCAATAGCATGCTGATTTAAAGAGCAACCAAGTTTGTTCTAATGAATGACCTTGACAAATATTCATGGTCGCATGGGTCAAATATGTTTAAAACCTTTAAACGACTTCTTCTCAATAACCATGAGGCCTATGATGATTGTATTTCGCCTGTAGGATGCTGGGATGGAGGGCTACCAAGTTTGTTCAAATGAATGACCATTGCTCATATTGGGGTCACAACCACAGGGATCAAATATGTTTAAATATTTAAATGACTTGTTCTGAATATTCAAAAGGTCCAGGGTAATAATATTTGGCAAGAAGCATGCTGGGATGGAAGGCTATAAACTCTGTTCAACTTAATGTCCTTGTTCGACTTCAAGGTCACAGGCGTCATATGTTTAAATAATTTAATAGATTCTAATGAATCGAACACAGATATTTTCCCTGTAGCTGTACATTAGTCCTCTTTTAAGATTACAAATGTGAGATAAATACCAGGTGAGCGATTCTGGCCCATTGGGCCTCTTGTTTATATTAAGGTTTCTTAAACCACTCACTAAAAAAGTTTTGATGTCTTCATATAATATATCACAATGAAACATAATTACTAAGTTCTAGGGCTGTTACAATATATCGGAAAACAGGTATATCGCAATACAAGGGTATATCGTATCGTACCACAATACACATACTTGATATCCAGTGGTTACGCTCACTTTCGCTCTCTGCACCCCTGGAATATGTCATAGCAAAATTGGAGGCTCAGTGTGTACCACCCCACCTTGTTGATAAGACAAGAAGACTTGTTCGATCTTTTGATTTACATCAAAAGAATCTAGCGGTCATGTAACGGTAAAAAATGACAGGCTTTGAAGTCGAGTGTCGCTCCTTTGTAAGCTTCAAAGGACAGGTATCAGCATAGCAATTGGTCAGGTTTTTTTTACCTGAGACCAATCAAACAGATATCTTTGTGCCTTCAATTTTGCTATGACATATATTCCAGGGGTGCAGAGAGCGTAAGTGAGCGTAACCCCTTGATATCGAGGATGCAAAATACAGAGATGAAATGTTGCTGTATCCCAATATTTTTCAAAAGCATATTTTTGCATATTTGCTTGGTGTTTAAACTTTGCAAATTACTACAAATTCTAACAGATATGCCTATAAGCATAAGGCAGGCTTTTAAAAGTTCAAAAAATTTGTAATCCATGGTTGGTTTGATAAAAATGTTAAATCTATGTAGTCCATATTATATATAATTAAGTTTGATAACATTCTGACAACAACTTATTATAAAATTGAGCAATCCTTCCTATGACAATATATCGGGATACGCATTGCAATATATTAATTCTGTATTGCAATATATCGTGATACACTCTTGGCGTATTGTGACACCCCTACTAAGGACACCAGCAACTCATATTACGATGATCTTTTATCACATAATGTACTGTGTTATCCAGTGAATATACCTATGCCATATTTTTTTACGTATTAACCATGTATTATTACCGATACTATCAGCCCTGCGATTGGTTGTAAATTTCAATTGTCTCAATTGTGACGTCATGCCTAGGACAAGTACATGACGTCACATACCTACGCACTGGAGTCAAAATGGCTGCTTTTTACATTTCAAGGTTACATAAAAATTGTCGTTTCACACGATTAATGCCACAAATCTTGTTAATGTGATAAAAAGAATCTTACACTTATTTTCATTTCATATGAAATTTATGAAACTCGCCAGAGGCTCGCTGGATTGAAAAATTCTTAGACTCGTTTCATAAATCTCATATGAAATGGAATCTCATGTAAGATCCTGTATATACATTACCTTACCGTAGAATGTATGTTACAATTATGATAAAGTTATAATCTTCATTAGATAATTATTAATACATTTAAATCATTTGTTTGGATAGGATTTTGTATCGACTTTCTCCTATGCAGGTTTATGCACGATATATTTTCACCACCTTTAACAAGCTTCAAACCTGATTGATTAAGTCTTTATACATGAACACTGAACCCTGACTTCACCAATCACCTGACTGTGAACAGCATCCTTTAAACTCCGACTTGATTTAAATGTGATGGAACCTAACGTTTGTTTCTGTGTATCCCTGTCTTAACGGACGCTCTTAACTCTCCAGCTCTCCCTAGTAAAGTCAGGTTTTACTGATGTTTTGAAGTATCTCTTACGGAATTGTCATTGTTATGTTTCCATCTTGCAGGATCATTAGAACTAGACAAACAGCCATCTATTAATAGCCACAGAGCAGAAAGTAAGTAATCCAATAGAATTTTAACTTTTTACATGCCATTTTTGATGTACATGTGATGTATTACCCGACATTGTGTGACTGCCTGCATGTCAATTTTTTTTATTTATAGCAAAACTTTTAAACATACATAAATGGCTCATAACAATCCAATGGAACGTCATAGACATATGACTATTACTAAGTGTAGGACCTCAAGATTTCCGTCAATCCAGTTTCCATAACTTTACCCCTGAATTGTATACGAATTAAATACAATTTTCGAATGTTTTATGTATTTTGATTGTTGTATGCGCTCTATATTTGTAAACAGAGAGACGACTTCCCCCATCTCAAGCTACTGTAACAAACCATACAGAGAAGAGAATCACTACAGAAAAAGTGCTTTCCTCTCTGGCACATGAAGCTGCAAGGGAGACGATTGGGGCACGAAGGCAGTCCAACTCAGGATCTAACTCACCAGCGATGCAAATGTTCAACTCCACACCAGCACCATCACTGACCTATAGTCTGGGTAAATTCTTTTATGCCTGTTCGCTCTCATCCTATCACACGATTGTACCGAATTCATGTTTGAACAGATTTTCATCAAATTTGAAGGTAAACGACAATGTCACTTACTATTCATAGGTCAGCCACAGGGACAACGAGGCATTCATGTATTAAAGATACTTTCTGTTGTTTTTTAACTCGACTTCAACAGTTATGTCGTGATACTTTGATTATGCATTTCTGAATATGAATGAGCATTATATGTGTTTTTATCTCTAATTTTATTCATAAGATAACATTAATAATGGTTAATTCATGCTTCTTTTTATTCATGAAAGTGAATGTAATGTAGAGTTGTTGGTGTCCTTCACAGGTCACATGGGTGCAGGAAGTAACGCGGCTATAGCAGCTGCAGCATCTCAGGCTATCGCGGCAACACAGCATGTGGTAGGTGGCACACCCTCTCCATCCATTTCCAAGAAGAGAAAAAAGTTTTCCTAAAACTCTTCAAACCAATCCTGTAGAAAAAAGAGATACTTTTCTTCTGAAAGTATCACATTGATTCTGTTCCTTTAAATTAAAAAATGATTTTGATGTAATCTTAAGTTTTGGTACGTTTAGCTTTTGGGGCACACATGATTCAAGGGAGATAATAATGGTTTAAACTCTTTGGTTGTGTGTTCAATATTTTTGTGCCTGTTTGACCTTATCAAGCTGTTGAGAAATCCCACCACCAACCTCAAATTTATTCTGTGATAGGTGGGTGTTTCGAGATACAAGCTGCATTTTATGTGTTGGAGATTAAAGATAATTGTTTTTGGTGATATCCTTAACAACAATTGCATTCCATGGGATAAGGATATTTTGAAATGGAATAGCCCTATCAACTTACGCAAAAAAGAGTAATGAGATAGTCCTATACCTAGAAGGTTCAATATCATATCGATCTAAATTATTGGGATATTTTTTCACAAAAGTCCTTTCTGTTGAACATCAAACAAGTAAGTTATCAAATGTATTTTCAAAAGTTCTTTGTCCAATTTTGCAGATGCAGCAAGGCAGAAGAACTCCTAGTATGAAAGCTAGCTACGTGGCGATGTCAAGGACTGCGGACCTCGCCAAGGAACTCTCCATTCCAAAAGACACGGGTTACAACTCACAACCATCAACACCTACTTCTAGTCAAGAAACAACACCTAAAGTACCTCGACAGAAAAAGTAAGGTCAAAGTGTAGCCTGCTGTTCTTTTCACCCCTCATGGACAAATTATTTTTGCAATTATTTCAAAACTTTACTAGAGAATTTCTGAAGTTTAAACCAAACGTCAGCTTTGTATTGTGTTCATACTTCCATACTGATATCAGAAATAAAAATTAAAAAATACATAAACTTAAAAGCTTTAAATACTCAACTGTATTTGCCATAGTTAATGCCCTGGGTGCCAACAAAAAATGGCTAAAGGCAAGTGAAGGGGGCACTTATTAAGATAACAAACCATAGGCTGTAGCAGTTGTAGGGCAAATTTCCAAGGAGAGTTCCAAAATTTACATAAAAAAATCTAAACAAAACGGATAAGCAATCTTGCCAGATTATGAGGCAAGTGTGTGATACAATGTGTACATATGAATAAATTATGTTAATTTGAGAGGGCCAGAGTGGAGACTGTTAGTGAAATGGGGTTCTCAAATCTTTCAAGAAGTGCTGAAAAAGGGAAGGGGTGTTGCTTATGGTGAATATGGTTGTATGCATTTTAGTATCACCAGTGAAATTACAGGGACCACCTGCTGACTGGTGTATAATATTGCCTTTGTAGTGCTCTCTGTAACCATAACTGTAACCAAACCATACACCCCGCAATGCAGATAATCTTGTCGAATAGTTTTTATACAATATTTGATACATCTACGATTTTTCAGACAAACTTCCAAAGCAGCTCAGTTACAACAGCAGCAGCAACAACAACAACAACAACAGCAACAACAACAACAGACAGTTCCTGCTCAGCAGCCCAGCATACCAACCCCCAGCCCCCAGCAAGCGATACCTCCTATACCCCCACCCTCACGTCCCCAGCCCAGCCAGCCAGTTGTGCGAGATGCTGTGCCGGCAGCTGAGGAGGTCAGCACAGAGCTACAGATTGTTGATGAGCATGGAACGCCCATCGACTGGCAGAATGACCCCAATGAGCCACGCTATTGTCTATGTAACCAGGTGTCCTATGGAGATATGGTCGGCTGTGATAATGATGATGTAAGATTTGTATTATTACTAGCTATTAGTATCTAAAATATTTAATAGCTGAAGTATAGATTAGTGGAGGAATAGAATAATTTCAAAAATAATCATCAATTGAAAACCTTTTCATTTAGATCAATTGAGAAAGTATTTGCACCTGCATAATTAAATTCTTGTCTTTTACCAATCGTCTTATCTTGTTTTGCTCTAAAATTATCAAATTAGAATAATTTAAGTGCTCCCAATTTTAAGAAGAATGTTGTGTCTGTTGGCATGTGATGTTTTCAGTTGACTTGTTCTCCCAAAAATTAAAAGTATCAACCATATTAGAACACTACCAATAGGTCTGTGTCTCATATTAAGGTCTGCTGTATCATATCTAGATAAGCCTTTCCTGCATATACCTTTAATTCAGCTTGGGCATTAACCCATTCACCCCTAAAGTCACATTTGAACCTTACTAAATCAAAGTCTGGGGAAGTTCATCTTAAATATGGAGGGGTGAATGAGTTAATCCAGTATGCCTGTCAGTAACTAGGCTCTCTGGGCTTACTTCAGGTATAATACGGTATAACATACATTCAGTCAATGTGTATTTTTTCACAGGTTAATAAAAATACATATTGACTGCAAGAAAGGGCTATAGTTTTATGATATATTAATGAATGACTTGTATTGTTTGCAGTGTCCTATAGAATGGTTCCACTATGGGTGTGTCGGACTGACACAGGCACCCAAGGGCAAGTGGTACTGCCCTCAGTGTACAGCAGCCATGAGGAGACGTGGACGCAGATGATTACATGTCACATTAGACACAAATCTTACATTAATACAGATCGTGTCAACTTTGTTAAAATCCTGGTTTAAAAAGTTAAACGTGGTGTGTTTATAATAGAATGTTACTCTTTTCAAATTACTTAATCTTCTCCTGATCTAACCTCGGCACTGAAAAGGTGATTTTTGAAACAGTTAAGTTTTGAGAATTTTCTTCCAAAGGATTAAAATCAAATTTTCCTGTTAAGAAATTGCTGTGAATTACAGTGTTCATGGCAAAGGAAATGGGACAAGTTCTAGTGAGAGTGTATTATTCTGTTGTTGTTGTTGTTATACGATACCGTCAATATTGACTATGTGTCATTCAAACATATATGCTTGTCATTTCTGTGTTTTTCTACATTTTTGCAGGCACATATATACACCCTCATCAATCTAAGGTCAAAGATGATTATGGTAGACACTTTTCTGTAATATTGGTCAGAAATGTTGATTTATACACCCTAATTTTCATTGTTGCCGTTTTCTGTTTTTTCCCTTTCACAAATGAAGCTGCATGCCATGTCTTTCTTCTCTTGCAAGGTTTTAAGGGATTCAGCTGTCTGTCTGTACCTCCATCTGTAGAAAATCTTTTCTTGGTCAAAACTTAAGTAGTTTTTAATAGCTATACTTGTTACTCTTTACCAATACATGTACATTATATACAAAAATGACCAAAAAAAACTTACTAATTTAAGGGGTCAGATGAGAAATATTACGGTTAATGTACACGGTTTTTGTTTTTTTAGTTCATTGATGCTGTATTAAACCTTCACAGACACAGTACCAATACAAGGGTCAAAGGTCAAGGCCATTTCCATTATGTTACTTTACAATGCATTCTGGACCAGAACATTGAACACTTTCCAGTAACTTAAACCCACATATCATCCCCTTATGTGTTTAAATGTGAAAGGTCAGGGTTACTGTACATGTGAATTGATAATTTATAAAGCATTCTAAACAGTAAAATTTCTCATAGATAGGATCAGAATTTCATCTCAATTCATGAAACTTCACTGACAGATTACTGACAAAAATGTCAAGCACTGAAGGCTGATCATGTTGTATTCTTAAGGTCAAAGGTCAAGGCCATTATGCATTATAAAATGTATTTCAGACAGTAACATGGACGATTTTTCACTGTCACTATTAGCAGACATATTCATATTTAAATGGTGAGAACTTGGTACAATTTTGGTATAAGGATCCCTCCCACTCTACTGGTCTTCTGTATAAACAGTGACCTCCCCTTGAATTCGTTTTCGATATAGCTAGCACAGTAAGGCCAGAACCCTTCCGTTGACCAGGTTGCTCAGTCGGTTAGAGCGATAGTATACCAAAGTCCAGAGTTCAAATTCTGGCCAAGCGCAGGGGATTTATTTTTTCACTCAGTACACTGTTATTTCTTTATTTTTTCATACAAGTCCTACAATGCATAGTTTCATTTTGAGGAATGATTTAACAATGCTATACAAATGCAAAAAATTCCCATTGCATAATTACAGTTTTTGGCAGTGGTAATTTAACTCTGTTGTTAAAAAGCATTTTGGACCATCACTTATGCAATCTTTCACCTACCTTTTTAGCTATCAGACATGACCTAACTGAGGGCATAGAACATTAGAATGTGACAAAAAATATGTCTCATTTAAGTTCCTTCATATTTATTGACAGAAGCAGAGTGAGGGGGTATTATTTAACGAACACTTGAATCGAAAATTTATTGACAAGTTACAAATCGCTCAATATTTTATAATTTCTGTAATGTTGTCATTCACTATATCAAAAGTGGCAGCATTTAAGTATTGCAATGATGAAGATTTTGAAAAGCATAAAAATAACATGCTTTCAAGTCAGTTGGCACTGCAATCTGTGCAAACAAACAAAAGGACATTTTACTTTTTGAAGGTTTTTTAGCTGAAAGATCATGTTTCATTTTTTGCTGTGGGAATTTGTGAGGTTTGACTTAATACTTTGGTCTATACCTCTCCAATGTTTGATAATTGAAAGTTGCTTCACAATTTCAGTAATTTTCACAAGTTTCAGAATTATCTATTAATATTGAAAAATATTGAGGGGAGTGTGAAGAATGAAGGAAGCAGACTGTTATAATATACATTTCTATGCTTTGAATATTTTTGATAATTTTGCATTTAGGTAATCGGAGAAAAATGGGCATATCAACACATTATGAAAATAAGCATTGCAGTGGTGTTGTCAGCATATAAATGTTCACATCAGGAATAATCAAAGAGACAAAAGGCAAACATTTCACCATTCAGAATTTTCTTTTATTACAGTACATATTGCGTTTTGATATTTTGTGTGTATGTGTGTGTGCCTATTTGTGCTTCGAACACAGTTTGATTTCAAGATACTGGAAACAAGAAATTCTAATTATGTACCATATGGGTGTTATAAGCGTGGATTGGATTTGTTTATGAAATCAACATTAGTGTGTTCAATGGACATGTTACTACCCTGTGTATTTATATACACAGTACAATGTATAGGTGTTATTTGTTGGAGAAATGGAAGTATTCATTCTGAATGTAATAGCTCCTAGTTAGACTAACATTATCCAGGCAGGTTAGCCGTTTCCTTCATTATAAAGGTTTCTTTTTATTCAAAAGTCATTTTTTGGGCAATACAATATACTCTGACGATATCAGAGGCTGTACTGGTAGTAGTTATGTTAATTACACATCATACTTTTCCATGTTGATTATAATGTGTTATTTATTTTGTTAAATAAAAAATGACCACATAATTTGTAACAGTTAAACCTGCTTTAAAGTCAAACTTGGATGCGTCGAATACCATTCCTGTTTTGATCAGGTAGTCGAGTCCAGACAATTTCCCTAGGTATAGCTGTAGTAACTTGACTGGGGTGTTAGAAGTCGAATACCCCTCGATCAATTGCAGTGATCAAATTGATCCACATCCAATGCAATCTTACAGTTTCCTTCGAAATCTTAGCATCGCTTACCTGGTCTGTGTAAAACGACTGTTGCAGAATACTTGATTTACACCCTCGTTTGTCTAAATTTACATGATCTTCCATGTATTGTGTTAAAGAGAAGAAACAATGTGAGATAAAATGTATTTAAAACAAAAATCACTTGTATTTAATCCTTTTGTAGTACATGTATCCATTTTACTTCTGTCTGTATTATAAGAGAGAATATGTAGAAACATAATTCTTAGGTAAAGCTAACAAGGTTTTGTGTAGAAACATAATCACTGCTTCTGGGTTTATCAACTTTGATGTGCCAATCACTGTGTAGTCAACTTTCTTTTTCTACGAATAGCATTGTTATGACAAAAATCCCTATAAATAAAACCACCTGTCTATAATGTTTTGTTTTGCTGTCTGCCTTTCGAGGCCATTATAGACAGTGTTTACCGTTTTTCTCCATTTAGACATTCTGTTTGCGATTACATCAATATCACATGTTTTCAGATTTCTTCTGATATCAAACAAAATGATCGAAATTGAATCAAAAACGATACAGAAGGTAAGTTATATTTCTGCAATGTTGATTAGAATGTTAAATTAAGTTCCCCATGAAAAGGAATGTCTAGTCTACCAGATAAAAACGACACTTAAGAACAATGATTTGAATCGAGCTTGTTGTATACCGAGTGTTAGCAGTGAGTGTTGCATGTTGTATCAAATTTTCACCACAAACATTTACAAGATAAAGATCATGATTTGCAAGACAACAATTGTGAATTTCAACATACATTACTATTACAAGCTTACCAGGTATATATTACTCAAACGTTTTTTCCAACCAAACAAAATTAATAATCAAAATGGAAAAAAAATATTAAAAAAATGGATCAGTTGTTGATTTCTGAGTGTTACTGGTTTTGTTTTTCTCCGTCCTTCAACTCAATCGGGATCAATAAGGAAAAGAGCCTAGGTTATGTGCTAGGTTGGATATTATCTTACAGGAATATCTGTCACAACTTTTGCTGAGGTGTAAAATGATGACAGTAAGATTATTAGTTCACCTGGCCAAAACTGCCAGTGAGCTTATGCCATGCCCAGGCCGGCCGAAGCATCTGTTGTCTGTCCTGCGTATATTTCAACTTGTACACATTCTTCTGAATAACCAAAAGACCTGGGGTGATGATTTTTTGCTAGTATTTTACTAAGATGGAGGGATATCAATTTTGTTCAAATAAATGACCTTGGTCAGCTTTCAAGGTCATAGGAAGTCAACTGTGTAAAAATCTTCCCAACAACTTCTTCTCAAGAGACCATTTTAGGGTGATAAAGAAATGTACCTTGTATGTTGTGATGATGGGCTATCAATTTTGTTTAAATTAAGAACCTTAACTCTCTTTCTAGGTCACCTGGGTCAAATTCGTCTTTCACTTGTGTAATAGGACGAGGAAAAGTGATAAAGATGGTGCCGTCGCTCTTCTTTTACACTTGAATCAATTTCTATAGAGTAAAAAGACTAACCTTCCAAGAAATAAACATAATGTAACTGTATTTCATCTATTTAAATAAATTTTACCTTGACCATACCGGGATATTTGAAAGTCACTGATGTGAAATAAATAACATGCGAGTAGTTACACATGTAGGCCCATCATGCCTCTTGTTTGAGGTAAACGCCATGGGTATGTTAATACTGGTGCATTCGAAATGCAGGTGTGGGAGGCTGGATGCAAATGAGTTGGAACCTCTACCATATGATTAACAATTCACCATTGCATTGTGTACAGCAACAGATATGGTGCAGAGCTCTTGATTATATATTTAGATTTCGCAGATGAAAATCCACAATAATGTTAGAAGATGACTAGCACAATTGAATGTACGGTACAGCATGGGAGTGTAAAACCTGCTAGTTACAATACATATATTCATGTATGTACAGGTTAAGTATCATGAACCACAGTTTGGAAAGATTGAAACTTGAGTAGTTTGTAAAGTTCAAAAATGAGAGACTTGGTGTAAATTAAACTCCATATATGGTATTGAAACCATTTTGAAATAGATAACTTGGATCAAACAGGTGAGAAGGATTATGATGAAAATTAAAAAGTACTCGATGATAATGTTTATTATTTAATAGCCACAAAAAAATAGTGTAACCCTACAAGACTTAGAAACTTAATTGTGGGTAAATAAACAATTAAGTAGTTAAACATGTGTAAGTCATGCATAAAATTAAGTTCATGATATTGGATATAGCAACAATGTGTAGACCATAATGGATAAAAACAATTCTATAAATGTGGGAGACTAAAATGTAATCCTTTATCCTCCAAACGTCAATATTTCCCTTTAGTTTAAGTAGATACAGTTTGTGTATTTCTAAAATCAAGTGGAAGTCTCCTGATAATTTTCTAGTAGAGCTACACTTCTTCTTCTCTTCTTTAGGGTGCAGGGGCTCCATCAATAATGATTATGCCCTCGGGGTCCTATCACAGAGGCGTGAAAAATGGGGTTATTTACAGCGATTAGTTTGGGGTAGATAAAAGGTAAAAGCTGGTGTATGTTTTAGCGTGTGGTGAGGGCTTCAAGGGCTGCATAGGGTATGTTAATTAGTACTAATATTAATACCCGGCCTCCTCTGCCTTGTAGCAGAAATGTGTTTGTATGCGTGAGGGTGTGCATGTCTGGTTCGAGGGTCTAAGGATGTGAGTTGGGTTTATAGCTACGATTTGGTTATGGCTACGATCTGTATCATGCATTAGTAGTGGTTTCAGTCCTCAATTTGATCTGGCATTATAACTAATTTTAAGTAATCCTATCAGACAGCACATGACCAAGCACACATTATCGATCAGTCTCAGGAGTTAAGTCAAAGTGAAAGTACACTTCCCGTAAACACACTATCTACATCATGAAAATGCTTAAATGGACGATAGTGCATTCTCAAATATCAAGCATTTAGAGAACCGAGATTAATTCATCAGCTGACTGCTCTCAGAGCGAGAGCCATGAAGATGCAGACAGCTGGCTAGCCAACACCGAAATGTTTCCCCTGTTTGAATTAGTTCGACTTTTCACTGTGAGGGACGACTACGATTCCAGGAACTCCCCAACTATTGTTCGCTATGCATACAAAGAAGCGGGCGAAGTTAACCTGCTGGCACTTGCCTGCACCAATGGTAAAAATCGAGTTAGGACCGAATTCCTACTTTGCACGCAACCCCTGACCATATTTTGTCGACACATGTTGGGGCGATGTCAGTTTGTTTTACCTGGAGAGATTGAACCATATTCTGAAGTATTTAATCAAGTTAACTGTTTTTGAGTTGTTGACAGTATTCAAAACCTTGCAGTTAGTCAAATTGTTGGTGTTTCAATTATCCTTGTAGACTTTAGAATACTTTGCGTTTATACAACAAACTTGAAATTTTGCTTATGATTTGTAAATGGTATCTCCATTATTAAACAGAAGAAAAAAGTGGAAAATACTGATAATACAAGAATGCTTAATTTAATACTGAATGTATGCATATAGTTAGATGGTGTTGTAAATCAGATTTTTTTTTTTACAAAAAGTCACTTAACAAATTGCTGGGCGTGCGAAAATCCCACACAGGGCACTCATGGTAATTTCTCTGCTGGGCACTCGTTAGAGTAACTGCTGCCAACCAGTCTAGCCATGTATCGCGCATTGAAAAAAAACCTCAATGTTGTTTTAACTGTTTATAGTTAGTTCAACGGTTATTGCTGGAAAAGCTTGTTTGACAGTAAGGCATTATTTCCTTATTGTATTCCTTAAGTTCTACACAACGTTGCCAGTTTTCTTTCCCGAGCCCGGACACCTCCTTTACATGGTACCATATATCTTGATTAGTTTGAGGTATGGATTAGGTAATTCAAACCCTCGGGATAAAATATTGAGCAAAAGACCCTCGGCAAAGCCTCTGGTCTCCTGCTCAATATTTATCCCTTGGGTTTGAATAACCTTATCCATACCTCACATCAGGGATAGATTCTATTAATCCACCAATAACTGTTTCTGCTTTATATCCAACCATTACTACTCACCCATCTCCCCAGCCTTTGTCTTTTATTTCTCCTTTTCTGGATTCTGATTTCCATCCTAGTGAGTCCTATTCTTTCCTTTGTGTCAGCTGTTCACCATTATTTTCAGGATGCATATGAAGGGAGTTATATACATGTTATTATTGGTCCATATTTCAAACTGCTTAAATGTGTTTATAGTGCCATATCAGTTAAACACTATGCAAACTAAGCCCAGCCCAGACTATATTTTACTCCACTCTAAAAAGGTGGAGATGACTAACAAAAACAGTCTTGTCCAAGAACACCACTACATCCCACTGTTGGCAAAATCCAAAACTTACACATGGTCACGCTAAACGTACAAGTTTTGTGCAACACTTGTGATGCCTGCATAACTGTTTTCTTCTAGGATATGTCCTCCTTAGGTACAGTAGTGGAAATGGAAAACCTCCCACCACTCACCAGTTACCATGGCCACAGGATAAACCTATCAGCTCAATGTGTTTCGACCCTACTGTGACCTGGCTCCTGGTCCTAGCAGAAGATGCCACCCTGTTCATCATACCAGCACTGCCTATCATGGTAAGTAGGAGTTTTAGCTTATCTGACCTCAACCTTTACTTTTAAGATCTTCAGAACCCTGACACCTAAAGTCATGATGTTTGGCCTGTAGCTTTGTGGCTTGTAGTGCTATCAAATCTATTGAAAGGAATGACCTTGACCCACTTTCAAGATCACAAGATCATATGTGTTGACACTTCAAACAAGCATGATTATAGGATAAGTGTATCGAGAAATCCATATCTAAATTAGCGGAGAGTTCTAAATTTTGTTTTTTCTATGAAGCCTCCCTGTACAAAGGACCATCAGTTTTGTATAAATGAAGGTCATGACCCCTCTTGAGGCTGAATGGTAATAGAAGTAAATATAGATAGAATACAGCAAACTGAAGCACTGGTTGAAAATTTCAACTCAATTTGGTATGAAGGATCTCTGGGTCATGGGAATTGAAATTTGTGTATAAATAGTGAAATCTTGTATGTTGATGATTTAATGTTTTTCTGTAGGATCCAACTGCTAAAGTCAACCAACTGTGGCGAGAAGATGATGTCACCATAACGAAGGTTAAGCGACCCAAAGGTATACGTACTGGGGGTAATACAATAGGATCATAGGCGGCTTAATAAGTTGTATAGATTTTTTTTTTTTAATGTTAGTGTTCATCAGCTCAATGAACTGCAGTCAGATGACTTGAGGAACAAAAACAATAAAATGTAAAAGTCAGTTAAATTAAAGAACAAAATATAAGTAAAAACAAAAACATAGATTAAAACACATCACAGTGTCAGTATATGAAATTTTGATATCAGTAAGAAGAATTTTCGCTACCAGGTATATTATCATTATGGAGAAAGAAGAATTTCTTTTATTAAATTTTCTATTGAATACCTCATCTCATCCTTTTTGTTAAATATCTAATACTCTGTATTGTTGGATAAGAAAACTAATATCAAACAGCCATAAAAACCAGGCATGTGTGGTCTGGGTGTTGGGATCCACGAAAGTCCTTAAAACACTTGTAGAACTGGTTTTCAAGTTTTGACAGAAATAGGTGTAATTTTGTTGTTGTGTTTTACAGGCGTTCCTACTGCCCTCCTCTGGTGGCACACACTGGATGACCGACAGATAGCCATCATTGGCACAAAGGTACATAACTCACTCCTGATTGATCAGTAATTGTATACATTTATAGTACCTCTCTGGTATGCAATTGCCTATAGTTGAGGATTTATCCTAATTAAAAGAGAATCTGTCTTCCACTTCATCCAAGGATCAATGTTGTACCATACATGTATTTAAAGCACAGAATCTTGCATAATGAATATTTCATATAATGTTTACATTTTGATTCCTTGTTCTGAATTTTAACGTTGTTCAACATGATTTGAAATCTTGCAATACTTACTGTGCCTAAGTAATGTAGATTGTAGACGCTTATTTCAGTAAGATGAAATTACTGGGTATATGTATTTATAAATTCAGATTGTGATGGGGTCTTTTTCATGATTTTGACATAAAAATGTGCAGATGTGCTACAAAAGATTCGGGTGGAACCATTTCTGATAACATGCTGGCTGACAATGAACCAATGACTGTTTACAGTCTTTGTTTCATATACAAGTAACCTGTGCAGGCTTCAGGGAAAGAAAAGGCCCACTGCACGATCATAAAAGGCGACTAATGTCGGACACCCTGCAGAGTTTGGAGTTTTTTTCTATGTTTTTGACTGAGAGGACATTGAACAGACCCCATTGCAACATAAAGGATTTTTATCATTTCCAACTTTGCTGTCTTCTTTTGTTTTAGTCCCCTACCGAAACCAGGGGGACTTCAGGTTTTGTCTGGGTCCGTCTGTCTGTCAGTTGTCCGTCCGTTACCTTTAGTTAAGGTTTTGGTTAAAGTTTTGTAATGGCTTACCATTCGCTTAATAATGATGTTAGGATGCTGATTCTTTGCATATAAGTTCTTTAAGGGTCTAGCATTAATTCTGTGGATTAGAAATGGAAAATATCTGTTGGGGGCGCCGGTAGGGGACATGTATTGATTCATCAATACCCACAGAATGCTTGTTCCATCTGCTTTCTCTTTCCGGTGGTGCCTCTCTAGCTAGGCACCCGTCCTGATACGAGGATGTTAAACTCTAAACTAACAAACACATCTTACACAAGTAATTTTGTTGTTATCAATATTACACTTACAGATTGGAGAAATAATCTTTGTGGATCTGGTTACAAGGAAGACGTTGTATGATATCAACTGTGACTGTAAAATCATGCAGATTGACATCGTGGAAGATGACCAGCAGATGACCACTAACCTTCTGGTCAGTTTGAATCTCAGCAAATTTTAAAATATTAATAAGAATCATAAATGATATCAGGCTCCCAAATACGTTTTTTTCTAAATAAATGCAAAAAAATATAACGGTGCAAAATCAAAACCATACACACACAGTATATGGTCCTCCAAGAAACCATAAAATTTAAAATAATGACCGAGCTAGAAAAGGTCAAATATCCCACAAAGGACATGTTAAAAGTATCCTCTCTTTCCTCCCTGCAAGCTAGGGTCATGCAGTATTCATGATTCTGATCAAACATTTTTCTGTAGATTACGGACCAGTCAGGTGTCCAGTGGAAGTTACTGTTAGAGAGCCGTACACATGAGATTTTGTCCCTACCAGACAAGGAGCTCCTTGACCTAGGGTACAACACTGTAGATGGAAGGAACCTCCCTATAATCAGCATCACCACTCCTTCGGGTAAAATACATTAAACATGTATACGGCTGTACTCGGCTAACTTACATGTAGCAGGACCACAACCTCCCACATGTTTCTGCTAACTCAAGTTAAACTGTATGGAATGATATTGTGTAGTGTTAAAGTCCAAACATTTAAGATTAAGTTTGTAAAAGGAGATAAAGAAAAAGATGTGGCAAAAATAGTGCTATGATGTCACCGATGTCAAATGGATTTTTTTTTATTATCAAAAAATTTGTTAATCAAGCATAACAAATTAACATCATGTGTATTAAAGGTATCAAAAGCTGTACAAGACATGCTGACTTTTCTGGAACACTTTGTGTGACTTGTTCTATTGTGGGGGTTTACTGTGAGATATCATAATGTCCTTTGATATATAAAATTTACAAGATTTTTATGTCTCCCGAGTTCTTGGTGTTGTAATTTTGTATAGACTTCGAGTTGTGATCTTGTCCGTGTGTGAAATGATGCTGTGGTGATACTATTGGACTGATGTATTACTTTTAACAGATCAAACCAGAGACCTGTTTCTGCCACTGAGGTTTTACCAGTTCCAGCGATCTGTGTTCCTGTCGCCACAGTATGCCAAGGGACGCCATTTTGTGGCTGCTCATTGTGACAAGACAAACACATATCAGGTATGACCTGAACAGCATATCAAGTTCTATGTTAGCTGACCTAGCTCCAACTATCTCAGACTTATCCATGCTAGACTTATACAGACATGGATGCGAGATGTGAAATAGGCAGATATCGCAGATCTTTCTTTCGCCGCTAGTATATTTTCTCTGTAAAATTCGGCTCTGAATGACTGCTTATATGTTTTTAAGAGTTTGAGGAAAAAAAACACATCCATTCCTCTTTCATTTCTCAGTATTACCTTTAATTTCTAAAAAATGGAAAAAAAATGAAGAAAAAAGATTGAAATATATTGAAAGGATATCTTCAAATATAGACATGTAATTTGAATGGACAGGACTATATTTTCTTAGTTGTGACTATGAGAAATCTAGGAATTCTATTCATTTTTTTCTCTGGTATATTAGGGCTTTGACTCTGTTGACATTTAGCAATTTCTCTGAAATCTGAGGGGTCAAAACATGTCAAATAGACATATCCTTTCAAACCCAAGAGTCAGAGCTCATTTTTGGGAGTCAAATACATACTCTCAAGCCAGGTAAAAACAAATTGGCTGAACAAATGATTTTACAGGATACCAGTAATCACATTTCTACAATGTTTAGTCCCGGAATAGTGTAAAAATTCTGTTTTTAATGACTTCAGAACTAGTTTTTAATGACGATCATTCCAATACCTTCTTCATCATTATTTCAGATTTATGACAGTGATGTGGAACACAATCCTCTGTTTGTGTACAAGTTACCGTTCGGTGCTTACAACGTCATCCTGACGGACAAAGTGATATTTACTACGACACGACTTGGTGGGGAGAAGAGATTGCTTGTGATAGCTAACCAAAGGGCTGAAACCTCAGTGGACGATCAACAGGTAATAATAATAATAATATACAGCATTTGATATAGCGCCCTATCTAGCTAACATATGCCACTCTAGAGCGCTCTACAGTACATAGATATACAATTGATACAATTAGTATATACAATTTTGAGGAATTCGCAGGAGCTGCCTTATCAGGCGCTAACTACTAGTCCTATGCCACCTGGCTATTATCTCCCAATGTGTGTATGCCTGCGTGTAAGCTGGATATGTAACGTGTTCTATTTGTAGTGGGACTGTGCTTCCAACGGCATCTTTTATAGTGCCACCTCACTTGAATGCTACAGCACAGATACCGCAACCCCAGACTAATTTATACTTCACCTGGGTTGTTGGAGTTGTGTGGGCAGGAGAAAAGCACTTTCTCTGAATATCCATGCATACGACGACTTCAGGGATCGAACCCCGGTCTCCTGCGTTGAAGGCCGGAGTGTAAACCCCTGTTATGTAAAAATCACACAATGAAAATACCATTTCAGGATTTCAACAAGGATGCAGTCTTACAGCAGTTTGATCTTCCCCAAGAGGAGCACCTGTTGACTGTCCTAAAGAAGTCCTATCCTTTCTACTGGCATGACAAACGTGAGGAAGATCTGTGTCAGAAGATGGCTCAGGACATACAGCTAGGTCTGAGGCGGACCAACAGAGCTGGGCCAAACATCCTACCATTGACCGCATACGACATGCATGTCACGAGTCACACAGTGCTCAATGGCTGCGTCATCATCACAGGGTCGTCTGTGTATGAATGTAGGCCCAGGTAAGGGTTTATATTTATCCGGATGGAGTCACACTTCTCGCACTGTAATCAACGCCTGTATTGTCACAACAGGTTTATCATTTTGAATGTAGGTCCTTATCAACACCTCTTATCCAATATAAGTGCTTTTTAGAATAATCGTAATTTTTAATTTCAATTAACCCTTTCACCACTGTAGACCATAATGGACTCATCCAGATCAATGTATGGTAGAGTCTACTAAAGTTACCTAGGGATGAAAGGGTTAAAGAGAATTGTTTCATGTCTGGAATTTCGCTTAAATATTGTAGGATATCACCAGAGCGGCTGTTTCTACAGATGGCAGTCCAGCAGCTTGACCACTCCCGAACGGAGATCCTTGGTATAGGTCTTGGCCTTGACCTCAATACGCTGTATGAAGTGTCCGCTGAACATGTGCTAAAGAGCAAGGATTTCACACAAGCCATCAGACTCTACAAGCTCTCAAAGGTAGTGTTTACAACAGTTTTTATTTCAGGTTGAAGACAAATCCCAGTTTCATTGAGACTATAATGTTAGTTTTGTATACCCTTGTATTGTACTGGTTGTCCCTGTGTGTCCCATGTGATACCAATGACTATAACTTTACTGCAATCTACCTCCCCAGTGTTCCCATGTGAGGCGAGTGACTATATTATTATTATTATCATCCTTCCCATGTAGTCCCATGTGAGGCGAGTGACTATATTATTATTATCATACTTCCCATGTAGTCCCATGTGAGGCGAGTGACAATAATGTTATTATTATCATACTTCCCCAGTGTTCCCATGCCAGGAGAGTGGCAAACTTTGCACAGTACGGTTGTGTTCAAGAGGTACTGACCTACGCCAGACAAGTATTGTGTGGTCAGAACCAGGACATCAACACCAGTGAAAGGAAGCAGCTGACCGACCTGGCCATACACTGTTTTGTACACCAGATACAGGAACATTCTGGCGACAAGGCACAACTCGAGCAGTCTTTTCTGTAAGATATTATTGACCTTGACATTTAAGTCTGACCTTTTGTCTTTACTAAATGCTTTTCTTGAACTTGACACAGGTCCAAACTGATAATTTGATTTTCCTAAAGATAAAATGTTTACCTGTATTCTTAAAAAAATCTGGTACAATTCTTACTTGTGAACTATGAAAAGCAGCAATGTATGGTATTTGCTTTTAGGTTGGATACTGTTAAAACGAAATGATATTGTACCGATACCAATGAAACAATAGCATATTTTTATTGATACAATATTAATGACTACATAAGTAAAAGGAATTGGTATACACTTGGTCAGCAACACTTTCATAGTCAATGTGAGTTTTTCTTACTGTTTCTCTTTTAGTCACATTTGGTCACAATACATTACGAAAGCCATTAGCTTACAGTCGGCATTCATAGTCGCACATTTAGTTTTGTAAATTGTATTTTACATTTGAGAAATCTGTTGCATATAAAAATAATAACAAAGCCTGATCAATTAACAGATTAGTGCTTAATTCTAGCTGTCTTAAAAGCAAATGTTAAAAGAATATATACTATTGTCAGAAATAGGAATGAAAAGCAAGCGGGTTTGATGAGACTCCTAATTCATTCCTGTAATGCATATGGCAGCATTCATAATTACTCAGGGATTTTGTCAAATGTAAACGTCATTTCTATTTATTTTTTCTCTTGAGTTTTATACAATTAATATTCACTGTAATACCAATAATGGTAGAGGTATATATTAAAACGTGTATGTACCGGTGTTTTTCAAAGCAAGTTCTGATCTGGTCCTTACACAGAGTATCATTATCCATACCTATTTGCTTTGTTGTTCTTCCACTGCAGTGAGTTTCTCATCACCAACTTTTCGTATGAAGAAAGCTTGGCTCTTTCTTTGCTATCAGAAAATGGTCTGATCTATATCCTACTGGAACTTGCTAAGGTGAGCTACCATAATATTAAACTATGGTAAATTATGTTGTGGTTTTTTTTTGGGGGGTGGGGGGTTTAATGAGCTGTCCTGCAATCTGATTGGTCAGAATATGCAACTGTCATGTAATGGGCATGTCATGTTTTTTTGTGGGTGGGAAATTGGAATTATAACGATTTAGAAATAATATGATGGCATGATGCTGTCAGTATCTGAAAAACACTTTTTATTTTGTAATATGGCCATTGAGAGGTTGTTATTTAAGAGTACAGATTTGATAACCAATTGATCATGTTCTAGAGGGGAAATATCCTGGTGATAGGTTTACTGTGAAAGGAACTCAAATTGTGGTTTTTGCAGAAACTCTTGGAATTGGCACTTATTCAGTAAAGAGAATTCTATTATAATGAATAATATTAATTGTTGGTCAGGAAAAAAGGCAACAAGGTTTAAATGATGTGTACATAAGATAAAATGGATTAAAACTTTCTGATTCCTGTGTGACTGCAGGCTCGCGGCTTAGTGATGGAGGCATTGGACTTGTTGGCCAAAAACGATTACACCAGACTAGACAATCCTGTGGTGGACAGTCTGGTCAGCAAGGGCTTCACCAACCACCTAGTTCAGGCAGCCAAAGGTAGGTTACTATAGTGACACCAACCACCTAGTTCAGGCAGCCAAAGGTAGGTTACCATAGTGACACCAACCAGCTAGATCAGGCAGCTACAGGTAGGTTACCATAGTGACACCAACCAGCTAGATCAGGCAGCTATAGGTAGGTTACCATAGTGACACCAACCACCTAGTTCAGGCAGCCACAGGTAGGTTACCATAGTGACACCAACCAGCTAGATCAGGCAGCTACAGGTAGGTTACCATAGTGACACCAACCAGCTAGCTACAGGTAGATTACCATTGTGACACCAACCAGCTAGTTCAGCCACAGGTAGGTTACCATAGTTACACCAACCAACTAGTTCAGACAGCTACAGGTAGATACCATGGCAACACCAGCCACCTTATTCAGACAGCCAAAGATTGGTTACCATGGCTTCACTAGCCATCTAGTTCAGACAGCTACAGATAGGTTACCATAGTGACACCAACCAGCTAGATCAGGCAGCTACAGGTAGGTTACCATGGCAACACCAGCCACCTTGATCAGTCGGCTAAAGTTAAATTACAATGGCGGCACCAGCAACCTTGTTCAGGCAGTCACAGTTAGGGTTTCATGCCAACACCCACCACCTTGTTCATCCTGCTACAGGTAGGTTACTGCAACATCACCAACCACCTTGTTTTTGCAGCCACAGGTAAGATATCATGGAATCACCTGCCACATAATTCTGTCGGCTACAGGAAGGTTACTATGGCTTTATCAACCACCTAGTTCAGACAGCCACAGGTTGGTCACAGAGCTATGCAGGCCATCTTGTTCAGACATCCACAGGTTGGTCACAGAGCTATGCAGGCCATCTAGTTCAGACAGCCCCAGTAAGACTATGATGGCTCCACAAAACACCATTGTTTCTGGCAACCACAGTTAATAAATTACCTTTGCCTGTATTCATGAAAATGTGTGTGAGACATTCAACTTTATCAATGAACCATAAAGCCTAGAGCACTTTTCACCAAATGACTGTGAAAACAAATGAACACAGGTTGAATTTGCCCTCACATACTTACAGGTTTTGGTTTCTATAAGAAAAAGAAAAAAAATCTCTATACATAGTTGTTTCCTTGTTATTGATAGGTACGTTTTTCCAGTCACTGTCTCCCCAGTACAGGACCGAGATCCTGTGCTCCAAGCCTCAACTGGCCCTTCAGCATTACGCCATGATACAGGACAGCATAGCCGACCTCAGAGTGGACACGCTGGAAAACCTTGCCAACATTTTTGACCCCTCAAGGGTTAGCCTGAGGAACCACATATCTAAACATATGATTTCCAAGAAAAGGTAAGTGCTTTTGAATGTAATTTGAACAGAGAAAATGAAGGAAAGAAGCATTTCTATGTATTAGTTTGATTCTGATAATTGACCTGACCAGTTTTAGAGCATATTTCATATCTTGGAGTCAGATAGGTGTAAGAGGGAGATACAACCATAAGACATACTTGACTTACCTGTGGAGCAACGCATTCTCTATCATGTAACAATGGATCAGCAAATTGGGTAAAAGCCGGGTAATAGTCTATCATGCTTTTGTTGGGTAAAGGTAACATTTTACAAAAATCAGTGTTGTGTTTCCAAAACAATATTCCTAATTGTATTAAGTTGATGTTGTGTTTCCTCAGAACTGCAAGTATCTCCTCTCTGACCTCCCAATGTAGTGATGGAGAAGCTGGCCCAATGGTAAGTCACAACTCTAAACCTGTTGTTGAGCCTCCCGATTAAGTTTTTAGCTTTATGTAACTGTTAGTCGCAAATTAATTATTAACCCTGTCACCCCTATGTAACTTTAGTAGACTCTACCATACATTGATCTGGATGAGTCCATTATGGTCTACAGTGGTGAAAGGGTTAAGAACATCTTTTACACTGCTGCTTTGAACACAAGTCATGTAAAACACAGTCATAAAATTAAGTATTCTCAAAATTGAAATGATTTTCAGTCATGCTGTGATGCGTTTTCTATTTAGTCCACACATTTGTCTTTTAAACAGAAACATGTGAAGAAAGGCTGTGAAGATTTAAATGTAGTTTTAGCACTGAGTGTAGGGGATTCACTTCAAAAATAAGTCGCTTAAGATATAAGGTGTAAGTCTCACTAGGATCCGTAGGCAGGGCCTAATAGGGAAGACATCTGGAACTGGAGTGATTCATAAAAATAACGCTGAAGTTTGACATATATTAATGTAGCATCCCTTGGTCAAGGTGATTCCATTTTATGTCATCAGAGATGACGGCTCTCTTAACCAGAGAGGTTGGCCAATAGAGGACTAGGGTAAATGTGTAAAAGACTACTTCCAAAGAATGGCTTGACCTGTTTTAACACAATCTAGTATTGGACCATCCCTATTCCAAGGAAATATGATTTGCGTAAATGAAGAAAATGATCACATGAGGTAGACAGGCAGAGTGGAAATATTGAGTATTTAAATAACTACTCTGAAGAATACTTTTCTGTCATTTGTTTCAAAGACAGATGCATACTTTTACAGGAGAATACCCTGCCTGAGGCATCAAAGTTGGTGGATTTTTTTGTCACCATAATTTTACAACTCAATAGTAAACGTGACAAATCTGGAGACATTCCCAACGCTGAGGAGGTACTTACCATGAACTCCAACGATATATCTAAACAGGTCAGTTATCAATTCAGGTCAACATTCTACAGGGTTGGCTAGAACATTTAACTACAGCCTTCAGATTTAATCAGGAAAAAAATATTCATGCTTTCAGATATTTTTAAGATAAATATGACATTAAGTTTAACAAAATAAGCCTTTTCAGCCATAATTGGCAAAGTTGAATGGGAATATATATATATTTATTTTTTTGACAATTCTTTTTTCTACCATTTATGTGTAGAATAGCTACTTCCATTTATCTACTGCACAAAGGCTACAATATTTGAATTGATGAGATTATTTAAACCAAAAGAAGTTCCTGTATATCGTTTTCTATTGCATATTTTGTTGGTATTGGGTCACCAATTTACCGACGCGCTAATCTGTTAAACCTCGATAATACGCTAGAATTAAAGGGCACTAAAATACGTACGTTAACAGTTTATGAGCTGTTTTATCAATATTTTTATAAGCTGACTTTTTGGACTTATATAACCCTTTTTGATGTTGTCACCGTCAGTCTCCCGAAGAAAATTTGAAAGTGAAAGTCCGAAAGTTGACCTGTCGACCAGTACCACTTGGTGCCGGACATCAACATGTGGCTTTAGTGCGCAACGGTGACCTATACACCTGGGGTCGCACTTCCCACGGCAGGTAAACACAGAGCTTTAATACACTTCATTACATTTAACAGGATTTAACAGAATGCTCAGCTTCAGACATATTTAAAAACAAACATAGGTATCAGTTTGATTTAAGACGCAAATGCACAAATTTACAATCTGATTTTCAAATTGCTGTAAAAATCATTACAACTTTACATTAATTTGAGATTATTGAAACTCCTTTTAGGTAGAATGGTGGAATAATCTATGCATGTACATACAATATAAGTTACGATTTGATTTACCCTGACCTTACCTGATGTGTTACAGGTTGGGCCACGGAGACCTGGCTCCAGACAACACTGTATCTCCCCCCTGTAGGGTGGAAACTCTCCACATGCTCCAGGTTCGGGTCATCTCCGTAGCTTGTGGCGGTGAACACACGCTAGCCCTCACACAGCAGGGGGTACGTATATCATATATTACCTGTGGTGTTTCATTAGTCTGTCATTTTATTTAAAAGACTACGAGGCAAGGTCATTGGAAAGGATGTTAACTAAGTTGTGTATGAAGCATCTCTAGATCAGAGGGCTTCAAATGTTTTAAAGGAAGGTTATGTGACCTAACATCTTAAGGACTTCTGTACCACTGCCAAAAACTGTAACTAAGTGTTGAAAACTGTTATTTCCAGTATGCCTATAACCTTACTAAATCATTTCTGAAAAGAAAACCATACATTGCAGGACTTTTATGAAAAATGATGACGATGAATTTAACAAAATATTATCAACAAGAGTTTTCTGTGCGTAAAAAAATCAGCAGGTCTAGACCGGGATTCACACTATTGACTTGAGATTGTTATGCTATCTCTGTAACCAATTGAGCTACGGAGTCAACAGAAGTGTACTAGCCTGAATGTATTGAAATGGAAGTTGACAGGTGTTTGCGTGGAGGTCATCATGCTAAAAATATGGTTTTGTATGGGTTGACAGGTGTTTGCGTGGGGGTCATCATGCTAAAAACATGGTTTTGTATGGGTTGACAGGTGTTTGCGTGGGGGTCATCATGCTAAAAACATGGTTTTGTATGGGTTGACAGGTGTTTGCGTGGGGGTCATCATGCTAAAAACATGGTTTTGTATGGGTTGACAGGTGTTTGCGTGGGGGTCATCATGCTAAAAACATGGTTTTGTATGGGTTGACAGGTGTTTGCGTGGGGGTCATCATGCTAAAAACATGGTTTTGTATGGGTTGACAGGTGTTTGCGTGGGGGTCATCATGCTAAAAACATGGTTTTGTATGGGTTGACAGGTGTTTGCGTGGGGGTCATCATGCTAAAAACATGGTTTTGTATGGGTTGACAGGTGTTTGCGTGGGGGTCATCATGCTAAAAACATGGTTTTGTATGGGTTGACAGGTGTTTGCGTGGGGGTCATCATGCTAAAAACATGGTTTTGTATGGGTTGACAGGTGTTTGCGTGGGGGTCATCATGCTAAAAACATGGTTTTGTATGGGTTGACAGGTGTTTGCGTGGGGGTCATCATGCTAAAAACATGGTTTTGTATGGGTTGACAGGTGTTTGCGTGGGGGTCATCATGCTAAAAACATGGTTTTGTATGGGTTGACAGGTGTTTGCGTGGGGGTCATCATGCTAAAAACATGGTTTTGTATGGGTTGACAGGTGTTTGCGTGGGGGTCATCATGCTAAAAACATGGTTTTGTATGGGTTGACAGGTGTTTGCGTGGGGGTCATCATGCTAAAAACATGGTTTTGTATGGGTTGACAGGTGTTTGCGTGGGGGTCATCATGCTAAAAACATGGTTTTGTATGGGTTGACAGGTGTTTGCGTGGGGGTCATCATGCTAAAAACATGGTTTTGTATGGGTTGACAGGTGTTTGCGTGGGGGTCATCATGCTAAAAACATGGTTTTGTATGGGTTGACAGGTGTTTGCGTGGGGGTCATCATGCTAAAAACATGGTTTTGTATGGGTTGACAGGTGTTTGCGTGGGGGTCATCATGCTAAAAACATGGTTTTGTATGGGTTGACAGGTGTTTGCGTGGGGGTCATCATGCTAAAAACATGGTTTTGTATGGGTTGACAGGTGTTTGCGTGGGGGTCATCATGCTAAAAACATGGTTTTGTATGGGTTGACAGGTGTTTGCGTGGGGGTCATCATGCTAAAAACATGGTTTTGTATGGGTTGACAGGTGTTTGCGTGGGGGTCATCATGCTAAAAACATGGTTTTGTATGGGTTGACAGGTGTTTGCGTGGGGGTCATCATGCTAAAAACATGGTTTTGTATGGGTTGACAGGTGTTTGCGTGGGGGTCATCATGCTAAAAACATGGTTTTGTATGGGTTGACAGGTGTTTGCGTGGGGGTCATCATGCTAAAAACATGGTTTTGTATGGGTTGACAGGTGTTTGCGTGGGGGTCATCATGCTAAAAACATGGTTTTGTATGGGTTGACAGGTGTTTGCGTGGGGGTCATCATGCTAAAAACATGGTTTTGTATGGGTTGACAGGTGTTTGCGTGGGGGTCATCATGCTAAAAACATGGTTTTGTATGGGTTGACAGGTGTTTGCGTGGGGGTCATCATGCTAAAAACATGGTTTTGTATGGGTTGACAGGTGTTTGCGTGGGGGTCATCATGCTAAAAACATGGTTTTGTATGGGTTGACAGGTGTTTGCGTGGGGGTCATCATGCTAAAAACATGGTTTTGTATGGGTTGACAGGTGTTTGCGTGGGGGTCATCATGCTAAAAACATGGTTTTGTATGGGTTGACAGGTGTTTGCGTGGGGGTCATCATGCTAAAAACATGGTTTTGTATGGGTTGACAGGTGTTTGCGTGGGGGTCATCATGCTAAAAACATGGTTTTGTATGGGTTGACAGGTGTTTGCGTGGGGGTCATCATGCTAAAAACATGGTTTTGTATGGGTTGACAGGTGTTTGCGTGGGGGTCATCATGCTAAAAACATGGTTTTGTATGGGTTGACAGGTGTTTGCGTGGGGGTCATCATGCTAAAAACATGGTTTTGTATGGGTTGACAGGTGTTTGCGTGGGGGTCATCATGCTAAAAACATGGTTTTGTATGGGTTGACAGGTGTTTGCGTGGGGGTCATCATGCTAAAAACATGGTTTTGTATGGGTTGACAGGTGTTTGCGTGGGGGTCATCATGCTAAAAACATGGTTTTGTATGGGTTGACAGGTGTTTGCGTGGGGGTCATCATGCTAAAAACATGGTTTTGTATGGGTTGACAGGTGTTTGCGTGGGGGTCATCATGCTAAAAACATGGTTTTGTATGGGTTGACAGGTGTTTGCGTGGGGGTCATCATGCTAAAAACATGGTTTTGTATGGGTTGACAGGTGTTTGCGTGGGGGTCATCATGCTAAAAACATGGTTTTGTATGGGTTGACAGGTGTTTGCGTGGGGGTCATCATGCTAAAAACATGGTTTTGTATGGGTTGACAGGTGTTTGCGTGGGGGTCATCATGCTAAAAACATGGTTTTGTATGGGTTGACAGGTGTTTGCGTGGGGGTCATCATGCTAAAAACATGGTTTTGTATGGGTTGACAGGTGTTTGCGTGGGGGTCATCATGCTAAAAACATGGTTTTGTATGGGTTGACAGGTGTTTGCGTGGGGGTCATCATGCTAAAAACATGGTTTTGTATGGGTTGACAGGTGTTTGCGTGGGGGTCATCATGCTAAAAACATGGTTTTGTATGGGTTGACAGGTGTTTGCGTGGGGGTCATCATGCTAAAAACATGGTTTTGTATGGGTTGACAGGTGTTTGCGTGGGGGTCATCATGCTAAAAACATGGTTTTGTATGGGTTGACAGGTGTTTGCGTGGGGGTCATCATGCTAAAAACATGGTTTTGTATGGGTTGACAGGTGTTTGCGTGGGGGTCATCATGCTAAAAACATGGTTTTGTATGGGTTGACAGGTGTTTGCGTGGGGGTCATCATGCTAAAAACATGGTTTTGTATGGGTTGACAGGTGTTTGCGTGGGGGTCATCATGCTAAAAACATGGTTTTGTATGGGTTGACAGGTGTTTGCGTGGGGGTCATCATGCTAAAAACATGGTTTTGTATGGGTTGACAGGTGTTTGCGTGGGGGTCATCATGCTAAAAACATGGTTTTGTATGGGTTGACAGGTGTTTGCGTGGGGGTCATCATGCTAAAAACATGGTTTTGTATGGGTTGACAGGTGTTTGCGTGGGGGTCATCATGCTAAAAACATGGTTTTGTATGGGTTGACAGGTGTTTGCGTGGGGGTCATCATGCTAAAAACATGGTTTTGTATGGGTTGACAGGTGTTTGCGTGGGGGTCATCATGCTAAAAACATGGTTTTGTATGGGTTGACAGGTGTTTGCGTGGGGGTCATCATGCTAAAAACATGGTTTTGTATGGGTTGACAGGTGTTTGCGTGGGGGTCATCATGCTAAAAACATGGTTTTGTATGGGTTGACAGGTGTTTGCGTGGGGGTCATCATGCTAAAAACATGGTTTTGTATGGGTTGACAGGTGTTTGCGTGGGGGTCATCATGCTAAAAACATGGTTTTGTATGGGTTGACAGGTGTTTGCGTGGGGGTCATCATGCTAAAAACATGGTTTTGTATGGGTTGACAGGTGTTTGCGTGGGGGTCATCATGCTAAAAACATGGTTTTGTATGGGTTGACAGGTGTTTGCGTGGGGGTCATCATGCTAAAAACATGGTTTTGTATGGGTTGACAGGTGTTTGCGTGGGGGTCATCATGCTAAAAACATGGTTTTGTATGGGTTGACAGGTGTTTGCGTGGGGGTCATCATGCTAAAAACATGGTTTTGTATGGGTTGACAGGTGTTTGCGTGGGGGTCATCATGCTAAAAACATGGTTTTGTATGGGTTGACAGGTGTTTGCGTGGGGGTCATCATGCTAAAAACATGGTTTTGTATGGGTTGACAGGTGTTTGCGTGGGGGTCATCATGCTAAAAACATGGTTTTGTATGGGTTGACAGGTGTTTGCGTGGGGGTCATCATGCTAAAAACATGGTTTTGTATGGGTTGACAGGTGTTTGCGTGGGGGTCATCATGCTAAAAACATGGTTTTGTATGGGTTGACAGGTGTTTGCGTGGGGGTCATCATGCTAAAAACATGGTTTTGTATGGGTTGACAGGTGTTTGTGTGGGGGTCATCATGCTAAAAACATGGTTTTGTATGGGTTGACAGGTGTTTGCGTGGGGGTCATCCCAGTATGGTCAGGTTGGAATCGGTACGAGACATATCTACAGCCGACCCATGCAGGTCAACAAGCTCTCGTCCGTCCAGTGTGTGAGTGTGGAGACCGGTCAATATCACTCCCTGGCTCTGACTGTTGATGGAGAGTAAGTAAACTCACTGACCGGCTGGTCAAACCCTTGTAATCTAGCGACCACAACTAGAGTGGAAACTTTCAGTCGATGTTAATCTTATCTCATAACAAATGGTATCACCCAAAAATATTGATCAGTTTGTAGAAAATATTTAAATTTTTGGTATATTTTTATGGAGATACTTGGATTAATACTTAAAGAAAATTCTGACTTCTTGATAAAATTTGAGATATTTGAGTATGCTCAGACAAGGAATGAGTTAATATTTTTAAAAAAGAAAGTTATCACAGGTTTACCTTGTTACTGCTACTTTCTAACATCAGCACATCGGGAAATTTAGATTAATTTCATAGCCATTTTATAGAGGGACTCCCATTTGACAACTAGATCCAATGAGTCTCTGGTTTAATGAGAAAGGCAATCTCTACAACTACTGGTAAGAATGTGAAATAAAGATAAATATTTGATTCTGAATTAAATGATCTAATATCTTTTTTATCTAATATACCTGGTATTTCAGAGTTTATAGCTGGGGCTGGGGAGTTCATGGACAGCTCGGTCATGGTAGTATAGAGGACGCTTTGGTCCCGTCCCACGTACAGGCACTGTCAGACAAACAGATCATCAGGGTGTGTGGAGGATACTGTCATACCGTGGCCCTCTCCTCTGAGGTAAGTGTCAGACAAACAGATCATCAGGGTGTGTGGAGGATACTGTCATACCGTGGCCCTCTCCTCTCAGGTAAGTGTCAGACAAACAGATCATCAGGGTGTGTGGAGGATACTGTCATACCGTGGCCCTCTCCTCTGAGGTAAGTGTCAGACAAACAGATCATCAGGGTGTGTGGAGGGTACTGTCATACCGTGGCCCTCTCCTCTCAGGTAAGTGTCAGACAAACAGATCATCAGGGTGTGTGGAGGATACTGTCATACCGTGGCCCTCTCCTCTGAGGTAAGTGTCAGACAAACAGATCATCAGGGTGTGTGGAGGATACTGTCATACCGTGGCCCTCTCCTCTCAGGTAAGTGTCAGACAAACAGATCATCAGGGTGTGTGGAGGATACTGTCATACCGTGGCCCTCTCCTCTGAGGTAAGTGTCAGACAAACAGATCATCAGGGTGTGTGGAGGATACTGTCATACCGTGGCCCTCTCCTCTCAGGTAAGTGTCAGACAAACAGATCATCAGGGTGTGTGGAGGATACTGTCATACCGTGGCCCTCTCCTCTCAGGTAAGTGTCAGACAAACAGATCATCAGGGTGTGTGGAGGATACTGTCATACCGTGGCCCTCTCCTCTCAGGTAAGTGTCAGACAAACAGATCATCAGGGTGTGTGGAGGATACTGTCATACCGTGGCCCTCTCCTCTCAGGTAAGTGTCAGACAAACAGATCATCAGGGTGTGTGGAGGATACTGTCATACCGTGGCCCTCTCCTCTCAGGTAAGTGTCAGACAAACAGATCATCAGGGTGTGTGGAGGATACTGTCATACCGTGGCCCTCTCCTCTCAGGTAAGTGTCAGACAAACAGATCATCAGGGTGTGTGGAGGATACTGTCATACCGTGGCCCTCTCCTCTCAGGTAAGTGTCAGACAAACAGATCATCAGGGTGTGTGGAGGATACTGTCATACCGTGGCCCTCTCCTCTCAGGTAAGTGTCAGACAAACAGATCATCAGGGTGTGTGGAGGATACTGTCATACCGTGGCCCTCTCCTCTCAGGTAAGTGTCAGACAAACAGATCATCAGGGTGTGTGGAGGATACTGTCATACCGTGGCCCTCTCCTCTCAGGTAAGTGTCAGACAAACAGATCATCAGGGTGTGTGGAGGATACTGTCATACCGTGGCCCTCTCCTCTCAGGTAAGTGTCAGACAAACAGATCATCAGGGTGTGTGGAGGATACTGTCATACCGTGGCCCTCTCCTCTCAGGTAAGTGTCAGACAAACAGATCATCAGGGTGTGTGGAGGATACTGTCATACCGTGGCCCTCTCCTCTCAGGTAAGTGTCAGACAAACAGATCATCAGGGTGTGTGGAGGATACTGTCATACCGTGGCCCTCTCCTCTCAGGTAAGTGTCAGACAAACAGATCATCAGGGTGTGTGGAGGATACTGTCATACCGTGGCCCTCTCCTCTCAGGTAAGTGTCAGACAAACAGATCATCAGGGTGTGTGGAGGATACTGTCATACCGTGGCCCTCTCCTCTCAGGTAAGTGTCAGACAAACAGATCATCAGGGTGTGTGGAGGATACTGTCATACCGTGGCCCTCTCCTCTCAGGTAAGTGTCAGACAAACAGATCATCAGGGTGTGTGGAGGATACTGTCATACCGTGGCCCTCTCCTCTCAGGTAAGTGTCAGACAAACAGATCATCAGGGTGTGTGGAGGATACTGTCATACCGTGGCCCTCTCCTCTCAGGTAAGTGTCAGACAAACAGATCATCAGGGTGTGTGGAGGATACTGTCATACCGTGGCCCTCTCCTCTCAGGTAAGTGTCAGACAAACAGATCATCAGGGTGTTTGAAGGATACTGTCATACCGTGGCCCTCTCCTCTCAGGTAAGTGTCAGACAAACAGATCATTAGGGTGTGTGGAGGATACTGTCATACCGTGGCCCTCTCCTCTCGGGTAAGTGTGAGAACCTTACATATGCTGTTTTTCTAAAAGTTGTTCTTGTTTGTTGACAAATGCTGCTTACTTCTTCATTTGAAATTGCTTCAAATAAAAGGGAGTTGTATTAGTACAGATTCTTCTGATTCTAAGACATCTTGTCTGGAGCCATCACTTGAAAACCATAGGGTGCTCGGATGGCGCAGTGGAAAGGGCACTTGCCTTTAACCAATGCGGCCGGGGTTCGATTCCCAGATTGGACGTGGAAAGGTATGGGGTTACCTGCCCGCCCACTTGCGTTTTCTCCGGGTTCTCCGATTTCCTCCAACATCAAGACCTCCTGCACGCTAACCTCCAGGCCAACAAGAGTGATTAATATAAGTTGAAATAACTTGTTTCATATTTGTTGTAAATAAATAAAGTTTATATAATAATAATAATATAATATAAACCATTTTAGAAATATCTCAATGAAACTTGAAGGATACTTTCATCACCGACAATATGCAGTACACTGTATTTAGTTCAATATGACCTTCACCTCTAGGTTAAAGGTGAAATAATTGCAAAATTTTAAGTGAAATGTTATTAGGACTTATACATTTTGAACCTGTGATTGAAGATATGTTAGTTGTTGAAACACAGAAGTATACCTTCATTAATAATAACTTTCCATTACATGTATCTGCTCATAAGGGGAGATACATTTTATTTGAAGTATTCTGTTTCTGTATACAGGGAGAGGTGTACTCGTTTGGGTGTGGATTCTTTGGCCAGCTTGGTTTGGCAACAAACAAAAAACAGACATTACCAGTGAGAATACACGCTTTGAAGGGGAAGGTGGTCTTAGTCAGCACCAAGTTCTTCCACAATGTAAGTATCAACAAAACAAATTCTTTATCAGCTCAAAATATGTTATGAGGATGGCTACATTCAAATACCTGGTAAAATAACTTTTAAATTTGAAATAAGATATTTAAAAAATTTGAGTTGCAGTTACTGGGGTTCAGCTTCATGTACCTTTCATCGGACCTTTTAACTTGGTTTTAAAATAAGTAACATGTAAGTCTGTGACATTACCATGAACTGGGGTCTGGTCAGTGTATGTATTTCAGGTTTTAAAAAGGGTGTAAAATGGATTGCCTTTTGCCAGATCGCAGTCACGCAGAGTAACCATGTGTTCTCCTGGGGTTGCCATCCATTCAACCTCCGATTTGCGGCACATTCCATCCGTAAGGCACGCCAGGCCGGTGCTGTGGTCGGGGATCCTGTCGACCACTTCCTACTGCCAGATCTAGTCGACACCTGCTTTGTACATGGCCGTATTACCCAGGTAGTGACAATACATCAGACATGTCAATCACACGATAGACAATATTGTTTAAGAAGTTTAATTCATAATTAGGGCCCTGTATCGGAGATACGGGTGCCCTATAGTAATCACTATAGTAATCACTATAGTAATCACTATGAACATTTTGTTATGACATGATGAAGCAAAGTTGATCAGAATTAAACAAGGAGTCAACCTGACCAAATGTCAAGGTCATTAGGTCAAAGGTCAAGGTTAATTTTTTTAGCTTTGCACTAATGAGCATTTTATGACATTATGAAGCAAAGTTATTCAGAATTAAACAAAGAGACACATTGAGGTAAAAAGTTGAGGTCAAAGTTTAAGGTCATTAGATTCAAAAGTCAAGGTCAAATTTTGCATATTTTCACTGATGAACATTTTGTTAAGACATGATGAAGCAAAAATGATCAAAGTTTAACAAGGAGTCAACCTGACCAAATGTCAAGGTCTTTGGGTCAAAGGTGACGGTTAAATTTTGTATCTTTTCACTGGTGAACATTTTGGTATGACAATTTGAAGCAATGTTGCTCATAATTAAACAAGGAGTCAATTGACCAAAGGTCAAGATCACTGGGTCAAAGGTCACAATCAAATTTTGTATCTTTTCCCTGATGAACATTTTGTTATGACTTTATGAAGCAAAGTTGGTCCGNGTAATATTTTACTACAATCAGCCATTTCTGGTCTGTATATATAAAAGTAAACCACAGTGGTAATATTTTACTACAATCAGCCATTTCTGGTCTGTATATATAAAAGTAAACCACAGTGGTAATATTTTACTACAATCAGCCATTTCTGGTCTGTATATATAAAAGTAAACCACAGTGGTAATATTTTACTACAATCAGCCATTTCTGGTCTGTATATATAAAAGTAAACCACAGTGGTAATATTTTACTACAATCAGCCATTTCTGGTCTGTATATATAAAAGTAAACCACAGTGGTAATATTTTACTACAATCAGCCATTTCTGGTCTGTATATATAAAAGTAAACCACAGTGGTAATATTTTACTACAATCAGCCATTTCTGGTCTGTATATATAAAAGTAAACCACAGTGGTAATATTTTACTACAATCAGCCATTTCTGGTCTGTATATATAAAAGTAAACCACAGTGGTAATATTTTACTACAATCAGCCATTTCTGGTCTGTATATATAAAAGTAAACCACAGTGGTAATATTTTACTACAATCAGCCATTTCTGGTCTGTATATATAGAAGTAAACCACAGTGGTAATATGTTATCAGGCTATTCTGTATCTCAGTATTGATGTGTCCTATTTAGGGAGTTAATATGTATCTTCCACTTAAACTGAATTAATGTGAAACTTAAATAAAACCATGTCCTGTAAAGACAGGTTAAGACAGGTATAACTTACATTTGGGAAAATATGTCCTATTTAGACAAGAAAATCTATGGTGAAGACAAATTCTGCTTAGACAGGTATAACTTATATTTGTGAAGATGTGTACTATTTAGACAAATACAACTCATGATGAATACATATACTGTATAGACAGGAATACTAATTATGGTGAACACTCGTCCTGTCAAACAGGTATAACTTATATTTGTGAAGACATGTCATGTTTATACAAATATAACTTTTTTCAAACAGGTATATTTAGACAGGTACAATCCATGGTGAAAACATATCCTTATTAAACTGGTAAAACTTATGGTGATAACATGTCTGATTATACAGGTAAAATGTATAATTGTGAAGACATGTCATGGTTAGATAGGTAAAACTTATGGTGAGAACATGACCTTTTAAAGATGGTTTTATATACTGCAGGCTGTTTGTGGCAGCTCCCACTCGGCACTGGTCACTTTGGACGGAGACGTGTATACCTGGGGTAGAAACATGGACGGACAGATCGGAAACAACACAAGACAGGACATGGTCAGTAAAGGAATGACTCTCTCATGGAGCAGTGTCCTTCTGTCACCAACTATTCTTTTGAAAAAGCTAATAGAACCATAAGGCAAAGAGTCATAATTGTCCCATATGGGATAAAGGACTATCATTTGTTCAAATAGATGACCATGACCCACTTTCAATAAGGTCACAGTAAAACTATTTCCTTATATGATTTCTGTCAATGATTGAAATTCAGCACTGCAACCAAATGTTCAAAATATTTTCTAAAAAAGCTGCATTTTAAATATTTGTTAGCAACTTGTTTTATTTATTGTTTAAAGAAAATTCCGAGTATGGTGACTAATATAAATGATCGCAGTGTGACACACATCACCATTGGAGGAGAGTTCAACATCGCACAGGACTCCGACGGACTTGTCTGGGGCTGGGGAAAGAATGACATGGGTCAGGTAATTCATATCACAGAAGTAGGTCAAAACGTTATAAAATGAACATCATTGGAAAACTCAGAGAAAAAAAACTATTTGTCTACACATCATAATTGTTTATTTACACATGATTTATTAACAGCTGACAACAATTTGTTCACTGTTGATAACTATTGCAAAGGGGGACAACCAACCAACCTACAGCACAGTGACCATTAGTTAAATGCCAAATCATTGTTATGCTTGTAAGCATCAAACCTTTTCAAACTTTATCAAGAGAGTTTGTTATTTCCATTAGCTTACGAAACCCATGTGACTTGTATGAAAGGATTTGCTTGTGTCATATAATAATATGTGTTGATGTGGGAAATAAAACCAAGTGAACTGTTTTTGTCACTGTAAGGTAAAACAGGAGAAGTTAGAACCGTCCCCCACCACCTCCACCCACAAGGTCATCAAGACCCACAACAGACGGCGCGCAGGTAGTGGCATCACTGAGCTCCTTTTACCCACGGTCTGTCAGGGATTTCCGAATGCCAAACCAACTTCATCACTATGGCGACCATCTCATCTGACAAGGTCCGGGTCATATGATGGTTCAGATGGAGAAACATGGGTAAGTTGTTTGAAGGTGAAGGTCACTGTTACTATAAAAAGTTTTCATTTTACATACAATAACTTGAAATCCATTACTACTTTTAATGTTCAAATGTCATGCACAATTAAAGTTTCATACATTCTTAACTTACAGAAAAGGTCAAGGGCACATTTGCTATAAATAGATTTCAAGTGTCAAGATTCCTTAAACCTTTATGTGTACAAACTTATATACTACTGTGCTATATGGGATTGTTTACATGTCATTGTATAAAATGTCAAGGTCATTGATACCATAAAAAGGACTGAGTAGTCACTGTTTCTGTTGAAGTCAAAGATATAATGTTGATATTATTCAATTATAGCCTTTGGCTGAGGTCGATACCTGGATTTATCGACCTGAGAAAAGATATATTGACAGAGGACGCAGGTATCGACCCAAGTTAAAGGCTACAATTGTTTTATTATTTTCAAAACAGTAATGTAAGCAATCTGGGGAAAAAACACAAGAAAAAGCAACGGAATTGGGACGGTGCGTTCGTCTTGAGACGGGTCATAATTCTATTTTTAGAAATCATTTGTCGGAAATGATATGAAAAAACAATAATAATTAATATTTTACATTTGCTTTGCATTGTCACTTTATAAACCTACCAACATAAGTTATAAGACCATAACTCTGGCTAATTATCACAATGTCAATATAATTGTGATATCAGAATGAAGAAGATAGAATGGCAATATTAATACTGCTTGCCGGGAAGAAATGTAAATTCAAGTATAGACTACATTCTGTTAATAGTTACAGTCTTATAATACCTTACAGGGTTACAAAAGGAAAAAAAAGGTAGGAGTAATCAGAATGAACCAATGCACGTTATTTGGTTTGTCTGATCCAGCTGGTCAAAATTATGGAAACAAAACTGAACATATTACATATATTTGTGGTTGCTACGGCGACCACAATCTATCATATTTATATTATAGACCTGATTGTTACATATTTGAAGTTGTCACTTGTACTTGTAGAATATTATAGGATTGCTTCTAAATCATCAATGTAGGGATTTAAGTAAAATAATTCTTAATATTGAGGTTGACTTTTTCTCCACAGTGGTCTGAGGACAACCAAGATGACGTCCAGTTAGATCTTCTTCCTGACCTCCAATCACTTGGCAACAGAAAGTATGGCCGTATCACCATACATGAAGTCTTACAGGTATTTATTTTGTTGATTTATTATGTCATTGTCTTGTAAACAATTAAATATACACATAACAATGATAAGGAATTAATTATAATTATTTCTCAAGTTCAACAACCGTAGAAGTCTTACACCAGATACATATGATTGGTTGATGCTTTCTAGACATCAAGGCAGCATTTGTTTAGCGTGATCCAAACGGGTGAACTCGTTAGACCAGATATTTCTAACTATTTTCTTTAGGTTGGTAAGTATGGATTGTGAAAGGCTACATGAATCCTTTCACAATAGTTGGACCAGAGTTGTTCGTTTAAGAAATAAGGTCAGAGGTAGTAATCTGATGCTGCTTTCAGGTGATACGCAAAAGGGGCCCAAGTTACTGCATATATTGTAAAAGATGTATTAGTTTGCCTTACAAGCGTCAGCTGTAGGGAATTTCCCTTTAGCTTAGCAGTAGAGCATCGGGCTGGAGAGCCAAGGGTCACGGGTTCGAGCCCCAGCTATGGCACTATCTTTATCACTTTTCCTCGTCCTACTACATATTGAGCACATCGCAGTGAGATAGGAACTCCACCAATTTATTTGTTTTATTTTAATTGAAAGAATGGAATATTTGAAAGAAGATTGAAGACTTTTTTCTTTTAATCAGATTTTATTGATAGATGAAAAATAATTATTAAAAAAGAAATGGGATATTTTTTGTGTCTAAAACAATAAACCTTCTGTGGTCCCACAGCACCTGTCTGAGTTGTGTAACTGTATGAAGATACTGCGACAGTGTGTGAACGTTGAAGACTGGCTCAGTGCTGCCTATGTCTGTCTCTACCAAAACAATTATGCACAGGTAAGTTTTAATACAGTGAAAGTTTTATTTCTGGTTAAACTTATGAAAGGTTAAGTTTTGAAACCCCACAAACAAAAAGTGGTGCTGGATATTGGAATCAATCTGCTAATATTGGTTTTCATTACATTTTACCTACACGTATTATCCACGTTAAAGGGCCATTAATCCTACGGGTATTCATTTATGCTTTTTTAAGAGCAGTGGTCAGGGTCACTTTGACTCGGTAGTTTGAAAAGCTTTCCAAGCCACAACTTGTGTAACTCTTTTTTATGAATTCTCAAGAACACATCACTCACACAAGTGCCATGAACCCTATAATTTTTGAAGTCAAAGGTCAAAGGTCATGCGGTCGCTTAATACTTTAAAATACATTTGGACAATAACTGATATGAGTGCTCACAACACTTCCGTACCTTGTAAGGAACAAGGTGCAAGCAAGAAGGATTTCCTTTGATTTGGATAACTTGCCCTGGATAGACTCTCGAACATCTATGACTAAGTATTAAACAAAGCATAGCGGAATCAAGTCAATTAGGTACATATATAACAACTATTGTACACACGCTTACAGCGTAGCCGAATCAACATCGATTTGTTGACAACTCGTTCACATTTTACACCTTTGTGTGCATACGCTTCACTGGTCATTTGTCTGATGAAGGTGACAGAGTACATACCATACTAGTCATCGAAACGTCACATAGAAACACTTATTAGTTGTGTATCAAGAAACTTTTCATAATTTACCCTGGTAAATAACATTAATAAATGTGTTGTGTGGGGGTATAACATTTCTGTCGAATTCATCTTTTAAAAAAAGCTCTTTGCTGGACCCTGGTGTTGTAGTACTGTGTTTAACACTAAAGTTAGATTTCATGTGACTGGGAATGCTGCATATTGTATATAAATCATTGTGTAACCCCGTACAGGCCCTGGCCTTCCATCTGAAGGCACTGTCCTCCTACTCCATGGTGTTTGGCAGTGATTTCCTACAGAGTACGGAGAGAGTCGTCCAGCACTATCTCAGGTTAGCCTAATATTTTAATGTGGTGAAAAATATCTATCATTAAGATACTCGAATCAAAACTGAAAATTAAAATTGTCTCAACCTCTTCACATAAAATAATGAGTAGAGTTGCATTTAATTCTATAAAAAAAAAAATTTGAAAATGATGTATGTACTATTGTTGACATTTAACCTTTAATCATGTGAAATAGTGTGAGTGTCATTCTATGAATGTGATATTTGACCTTTAATCCTTTTTGTCAGACTTTGTATAACACAAGAGCTGCCAGCCTCCCAGAAAGAGGAGAACTACAGACTTGTCCTTATACAGGTAAAGTTACCAATATTGAGTGGGTTTATGCTCAGTGGTAAGGGAGACAGGTTAAAAAATGTATATCAGGCTTTTGTATGTAGAGTAGCAGACTTTCTTTAGCTCTCAGAAAACAAATGCTCGAATCGAAGATCTGGTGTTCAAGATATATAACAAATAGAATTTCTAAGTTGATGTTTATCTTATAAATGTGCTTTTAGATGCTGGAACACTGGGAGAAACATGACTTGTCTGTCAGCAGTCTGGAGGTTTTACTGGCGGACCACATGGACAGTGTGTGCTGTATTCTCAGTACATTCCTTTTCTGGTCAGTATAGCAAATTTATCTTTATCGATCCTTTACTTAAGTTTTCATCCATAAATAATGACAATGTAACCTTTGCTTTATAAATAAAAGATGAAAAATATTGAAAAATACATTATTTCCTATTTTCTTAAACGAAAAATGAGTACCGTAAAAATCTGTGTAATTTGCGCAGGTACTTTTTGAGGGTGAAAATCTAAAAAAAAAAAAAAAAGCTTCTACTCAAATATTTTAGATTAAAAATAATTCTCAAAATTTATAATAAAAATCAATGTCACTGATGAAATTCATATTGAAGGAAAAATCCAAGGACTGATGATGGAGGAGAGACCATGGAAATGCCGATTTGCATAGGCGTTTCTGGCCAATTTATGATGCATTTTACTACTAAGTTCTGTCTCCATGTCCTCCAAAAGGTCTTTGATAAAATGCTTCTCTCCGACTTTGAAAAGAGATACCCAGTCAGTTACGGATCATTAAAAAGATTACTGACCTGTCGGATAGGGTCAAGCGAATCCGACCTTGACCTTCAGCCAGGTGATAAACTTGTACCGTTCGATCAACTGTGGCAAGATGTGGTTCGAAACCTTCAAAAGGGTTCAGAATCACGTGACTATATATACATCACGCGAACAGATATTGATCACATGACGGAGAAACTTGGGCAGACCCAAGGACCGCAGTCCATCCAGGAGGAAGTGAACTCACAGGAGCCAAATGCGGTGCTGTTCACATGTGGTCACCACTATACACGACGGAACTTCATGGATGAAGTGACGGTCAAGTTCAACAAGGAGCTCTCCCAGGGCCCGTCCAGCCTCCCGGGGAGTGCTTCTCTATTGATGCAGTACTACTGTAGGCAGGGATTACTTCCCCTGGCTTGTCCAAAGTGTGTACTTAATACACTGCATACTGCAATGTAGGTTTCATTCCATGGGTCTGATTAGGTCAGTAGTTAACTCAAACATTCACCCCCACATGTTTAAACTGGACTTACCAAGTCTTTGATTTGGTAAGGTTCAAATGTGACTTTAGGGGTGAATGAGTTGAGGATGGATGTTTAGTGTTTTTTAGCAGTATTTTACTGTTTAAAAGATATGAAGCTTTATGGTTATTTTTCAAGCATCCATGAAGTTCTGACCTTTTTATTAATACCACTAATGAAATAGAATTCTGAGGATCAGTGGCAAAATAATGCCAAATATTTTTTGACTTACATTGGGCCAATAAAAAATAAGCTGCCCTATAACGCTTATATTATACCTGTCATGCTGTTTGCAGTGAACAAAAAGATGAAAGCTATGGTAGTGGATGTATATAGTTGACTGTTAATATCAAGGCAAGGTAAAGCCTGAAAATCCTTGATATGAAAGTAGACCCGTCCTTCCTATACAACACAAACTGACCATGTGCCACAAGTTTCTTACATACTGTCCTGATTGGATTGTGAAGGGTAGCAAATTGCGAAGGATTGCTTAAATGTATCTTACTGTTTGTATGCCACATAAAAGGTTTTTAATGCATTATATATAACAGAAATGTTTGTCAATAATGCTTGAAAATACTGAAAATCAGAGGCTACATATTTTAAGGTAGTCAGTGTTACTTTTAAACCTGATTGATTTATCAAAGGGTCAAGTGATTTAAATGAAATTATATCAAGATTCTATTTATTCAAATGTATTTGACGCACTGCATGTTGAGGAAGCCTAAGATATTTTTTCTGATTTCTATGATTGTCAAAATATCCCCAATTTTTCAATGTTTATTTACCTTGGTGCTTTGTGAATTGTGTTACCATTTCTCCCCAATGAATTGGTTACCATGTTTTTTTACAAGATTTACAGAGATTTACATATGATTGTAATTAGAATAAGTGATGATCAATTATCATGTTTATCTAAAGATTTAAACTTTATTGTTATTTCAACTTAAATACTCTTGTTGGCCCGAGTGTAAGTGCACGGGGTGGGGTTAATGTGTGAGGAAACCGGAGTACCCAGAGAAAACCTTCATGGTAGGGTAGGTGATCCCATACCTTTTCACGTCCAATCAGGGAATCTGACCCTAGCCACCTTGGTGAAAGGCGGGTGTATCTTTAACTGCGGGATACGACCACCTATAGAGTAAGTTGTAGAGGTTCTCCGAGATTTAAGGCCAGTAATCATGTTATCTAAGTGGAATTAGTCAAAGAGGTTCCCCACAATGTGATGTTTGGTTATGACTTTGCTATAAATCTTATTAATTGTTTGATATTTTAAAAGGCACAAGATTTACCAAAGGTATTTGAAAATCTGAAATCAAATAATGAGAATTAGTTAAATATGACAGTCAATACTCACGAGTTGGGGATCTGTTTTCTCCCTTTAGCATTTATAATTTGTTTAAATCAATGAATTTCTACAAAAATGTACTTCCCAGCTTGAAAAAAAAATAGGCATTATTTTCTTATATATGTGTTTAATATGATGTCACAAAACTTTGTGAATGTTCTAAGTTCACACAAAGATTGTTATTAACAAACGACAAAGCTCCCAATGAGTTACCCACATATGGGTACATGTATATCATATGTTTAACCTAAGTGTTGCAGTTGTGTAATTATGGAAGAAAATTCATGCTAGAAAGTTTTACTGGTTGTGTCCAGGTACAGAGGCCAGCTATTGATTGATAGGGGAAATTTACTCCAGGTTGATACGAAATTTACTCCAGGTGGATATGAAATCTACTCCAGGTTGATATGAAATTTACTCCAGGTGGATATGAAATCTACTCCAGGTGGATATGAAATTTACTCCAGGTGGATATGAAATCTACTCCAGGTTGATATGAAATTTACTCCAGGTTGATACGAAATTTACTCCAGGTGGATATGAAATCTACTCCAGGTGGATATGAAATCTACTCCAGGTGGATATGAAATCCACTCCAGGTGGATATGAAATTTACTCCAGGTGGATATGACTTAGTATTATTAGCTTATATCAGTTCCACCTTTCCAATAACTTCTAGCTTTAAACTTTTGTAACTTATACAAAACTGTTGGCATGTCATGGTTCATGGATATTCCTAGCTAATGGTTACCTTACCAATCATAGTATATTCTAATTGCAAATATCTCATAAGGATATTTAATAATTAGTTTAATGCTATGTTACAAACTTTTTATAATTCTTCCATATTTTTTGAAAGACTGCAATAATTCTATGAAACTTTCTTTAAAACTAATATTTACTACCACTACATGGTGTTCTGTGTACCATTTTCAAGTCTTACATCTGAACGTCAAGGTCACAATATTTTTTTCAGATGTATGTGTTGCAACTACTTAAATTGTGAGAGAGCTGGATTATGGGGACAATTTAGGACTGACTGTAGACTACTGTGACTGGAGGTGTCGACAGTGAAGAGGATACATCATACTTGCCATCATTAGTTCCCCACCGGTTCTTTATTTTGACCTCTGACTGCAATCATTGGAAAAATAGCCCTTTTCTGTATCAGGATACTTTCTGTACTGTAGGTTGATACTGAGATAGGTGTACAGCTCGGTAAGAAATCATTACCGGTGGGGGACTAGTACAGCTCGGTAAGAAATCATTACCGGTGGGGGACTAGTACAGCTGGGTAAGAAATCATTACCGGTGGGGGTCTAGTACAGCTCGGTAAGAAATCATTACCGGTGGGGGACTAGTACAGCTCGGTAAGAAATCATTACCGGTGGGGG